AGTGGTTTTTAGATGTTAAGGTTTGTATTTCTCGTGAAGTGTAAGACCATGGAAAGCATAGTTTTTAACATATGCTTTAGTGACCACAACCTTTTCACTGTAAATATTAATTGGACAGTTTTCCTCCAATTCTGGAACACCTTCTTTCTTAAATTAGATTAGAAATAGGAATATAATTTTCTAAACTGAAAAACTAATACTCGTGGTATTAATAAATTCAAACTATTCTTAATTAAGAAGAACAGTGTAAGATTACATCTATTTTTTATTGAAAAAAGTTTCGCTGAAAGGTATCCAGAGGATTACAGATTTTAAGAAGGACTAAAAATTTCAAAAGTATTATGAAATTTGCTCCTTTTTGTTGCTCTGGACTTCTTCAGTAAAATTTGGTGTTGCTTATTCTATAATAACAATAACCACTCTGTAAAGAAACAAAGAAAAAGAGAAGAAGGCGACATCCAAAAAACTATCTCATATTTCAAAGTTGCTGGTTTTGGAATACATAAAGAAGTACTGTGCTTATGGCAATATAAGTGCTCACCTTGCAAACTCCATTAATGAACTGCTAAAAAATTTAAGCTATAACCCATGATATTATCTAGGGTACATAACTTGAGGATCTTCGCTTAAAATTCTGGAAGTCTTCGCACTAGGATGCGATAAGATTTTAATTAGGGTAACGAGTATATGCTGCCAAACTATCCATTATATTAGAAAGTAGACCCAGTTCTGGACGGCTGAGTGGTTTAATTTATATAAAAACACATCCTGCACTTTTTTTCTCGAATACCAAAAACTATATGATCTTGAGGCCGAAAGAGGTAATTAAGACAACCATGGTATGGTTAACATTTTTCAGTCTACAAAGCCCCCGACAAAAGATGGGAAGGGAGGGATATCGATACATATCCTTTGGTTCGACCTCAGAAATTATTGGCGGAGGCCTCAATTCCAAATATACTTGCACAAAGCCAACGGAGTTGTTCTTGAAAAATTTGAAGAGGAAAAAGTAATCCTTGTGATAGGTTTCGTTGATCCGACGCATCATACCACAAATTAGGTAACCGACGTGCTCTATATTGTCCTGGTAAAGAGCATTTGTGCTTCAATGTTGGAACTCTACTATGACCACAACCTGTTCTCATCACGCTTGAAGATACTAACAACAATTTACTAAAAATGGAAGAAAAAACGAATTAGTCTAGTTTTAAAAAATATGGAAGACGCCCTTTTTTATCAGGCAAAAGCGTTGCAAAACAAAATAAACTCTCTTTGCACTCATATATATTCCACTACGGAGGTCACCCCGTTCATTACCCCTTAATGAGGTTGATCTGCTTGCAGCATTCCTAAGCGCCCACTCCGCTTCCTTTTTCAAATTGTTAAGTACCCTAACTTTTCCGTTTTACCTAATATTCTCTATACTGAATATTACTGGAGTGATAAGTACATTTCTAACCATTTAAGCAAGCGGTTCATATGGTATAACTAATCTAACGCTTTTACAACTTTAATTAACTGCATTTACTTACATTGTTAAATCGATTTATGATGTTCTTTTAAGAACTTTTTCAGATTGCTGGAAAGTTTCCCATGTAACCATAATTTCAAAGTCGACTATACTTGGTCATTCGGTTAAAGATTATTGCCCTATAAGTCTGCTATCTTGCCTCGAAAAGCCGAGAAGCGCTTTTTATAAAAGGGTTGCATAATTTTGTGAGGTTACAATTTCTTATGTACAGTTAGGCTTTCGAAAGGGGTTATTCCACCAGTCAACAGATCGCATTAAAGCTACAATTTTTGAACTCTTAGTCGTTGAGGGTAACAGGTTGAATAGTTGTTAACGTAACTCAGCGGTTAAGAGCACTGACGCGCACACTCAAGACCGTGGATTCCATCCCCATCCGTTCCCCCCATCGCGACCCTCTTTTTCGGTCTTTGATGGTGGCATATATATTGCCCTCATAAATCCTAATAAAGGGAACCTTTGATAACATACGGCATAAAATACAAATTTTGAAAATGGCAATCTATAGTATTTTTCCATACCTGATACAACTAATTGAGCCCTTATTAAAAGATAGATATATTTGGGTCATGCTAGAAACCCTAATTTCCGATTCCCACAGGGCTCCTTTTTGTTTCTCTGCTGTTTTCCATCTTCTCTCCTGATATCCCCACAGTCAACTCTGTTTCCTGCGCAGTATAATGATGACACTACAATTTATGCAAATTCTAAATCAGTCTCGGTCGCTATAAATATATGCAATTATACTTAGACCTCCGTGAAAGCTTGTTCAAATCTATTGATCTTAAACTTATGACAAATGCAAGGTCTTACTGTTCTCGCGTAGAATGAAACATCGCCCGGCGAGCAACTTACGATTAATTGATAATGATTTCCTTGGTGCTTACAGGTTAGGTATCTAGGAGTAGTTATTGAGTTCAAGCTCAAAGGGGACGCTCCCTTTGAGTACTTAACTGACAAATTTAGATCTACTAGTAATGTTTCGTGCCCTTCACTATGCAATAAGAGAAAGTTAGATTTTTAGTAACAAGCTGCTGCTATATTAATGCATTTTAAGACCTTTACTTACATAAGCTTTCTTCGCTCATATCTACTCTTCTATGAGACAGTTAAATATTTTATATATCAAAGTAATTTTATCGATATTGTGCTAACTCCCCGTGGTTCCTCTGCATCGTGACTAAAATTTACTATAGAAGTGATCAAAAACTGCGCAGAAAAATACTTTCACCGGTCTAGAGCTCTCTCTATCAAATTGTTATCTGCGATAATGAGCTGCGACCCTTTGTGGTATACCAAATATTTAATAAAAATGTCTATAATAATAATAATAACAGTTAAAACACTAATAACTGATCATTTTACGTAATGATTAAAAACAATGCAACTACTAGATGATAACGTTATCCTTTTTACTTCTGGGGTTTACTCTCCAACAGTTTACTACACAAAGAACAAGGATTAAGCGGTATAAAGGACGTATATGCTTAAATGTAGCAGTTAAATAAAATATTTTAAATTTTAAATATTGGGTTACTTCTTAAATTGCAAGCTCGTAAATATCTTCAATATCAGCTACTCTTGTTTTTGTTTGTTAGACGCCTTATAGTATTGAAAAATGCTTTCTTTATATATATGTTAATGTTAATCGGAATAACTTGTATAAACTAGGTGACTAGTAAAATATCTTTTTACATAAACATTTTTGTGTATTAGGTATATTTTTTTGTCAACAATATGTTATGTTATTTCTTTCTTTATATTAAGTGACCTGAGCTGACTTATATTCAAAAAAACACTTGTGGAATTTGTCATTTACATTGAAGATTTGAAGTGTACGTATTAATTAAAGAATATATGGTCAAATAGCGGGTCCAACTTATAAAAGATTTTGAGTCAGCCCCATAATGGTATTATTGAATTCAAAGTTTTCAATTCATTATATATAGTTACTAAAAATAATATAATTAAGTGTTTATATTTAGTAAAGTAGGAGTTTGAGCTTATATATTCAGCATAATACTGCTGACAGTTCCAACAAAAGTAAAGTGGAAAGGTGATTTAAAGAGTTTTTGGTATAATAGAGATTTTGATAAGAGGCCGAGCCGGAGTCCCCTATAGCTCAGTTGGTAGAGCATTGGACTTTTAATCCAAGCGTCGCGGGTTCAATCCCCGCTGGGGGCTTCTCCTTTTTACTTTCTTCGAGTTCTCTATTTTTGCTTTTTAAACTTCATATAATATGTTTAATTAAACGTTTAAAAGTTTTTTTAACTACTCAACCGCGGCATTCACCTTAGATTTAGACCTTTCAATTCTAAAAACTAGAATGCTTCCTTTTTTTAAAGAATTACTAAGATAAGGCGAGGTGCATTACCATAAATTTAGAAAAACTGGTATACAATTACGGTATCCAACTTAAAGTTTTTTTTACTAAATTCCCTACATACCTTTAGTTTTTCAATATTAATTAATTCTGCGAGTACTTGGATTGGTTTATTTTTTATTAACTTCATAACGAATTCTTGCTTTTTAATAAATTGCTGGGCTCCACCAACTATAAAGCTTTAAATTATTAAAAAAATTTAATAGCTTTTTACTAACTTATAAAATCTACGCGACGAGCAAATGCCAGGAGTAGAAATTTACTTTGCATAACTGATACAAATTGCCTCTTTCTATTAACTTTCTATGTAACTCCATTACAAGCTTTTTATTGCCTAAGTTCAAAGGTCATATTCATTTTTTTGGTTTAAGTTATCGTTAAAACTCGCGTTGCATTTGATAGGAAGAAACGTTCCCTTCCACTTGGTAAAGAGTTTTCAACTAAAATAAATAGGACTTAGTTTCAATAATAATTTTCTTTAGGTAGACTCTCTTGTTTATTATAGAAATAAATCCAATAGTAGACTCTGAAGTTAATTAACACGAAACTAGAACACTTATTTATTCAAAGCTTTATAATTATTATCTACAATAGCAGAAAACAACAACGAAATTTTATGAATAAATCGTTCACTCAAGGCCGAAAACTTAACTCTTCTTGCATTTTATAGGCTATTAAAGTAAATAATGTTAATCTACGTTAGTTATTTAGAAGTTTACAAAGACGGAAAAAGTCGAGATAAAAATTAATTAAATTTCTACACTTCTGAGTGACTTTTGAAGAGATCAACGAACTAATCCAAATAAAGTGGATTATGCATAAAAAGGGGTTATTGCAGGTCGCTCAATACTTATTTAAACGAAGAACTTAAGCTTTATAAATTCAGTGCCTACGCTTGTCAAGTAGAGTAGCTCTCAGCTTTAAATAAAGGAGTACCCTCAACTCTGAAGTCGAGTAGAGATTATGGTAGCGTTACCTCTTTAAAGAAAGCCGGGAAGACATAAAAATCCTCCTAAATTTAATTAAACGTTGCATACACACTACAAATTTATACTATTTATTATATTTTTAATAAGAAAAGAATCCTTTCGAGTCATTTATTAAAAGACTACAGATCCAGCACCGTACGTTCAGTTAGAATCGGAGCCTTTATATAAAAAAAATTAAGTACAAAAAAAAGCTACTATTATAAGCTAACTTTTCCCGTCGTCATCGGATCTTTTCGTTAGTATTGAGTCGATCAGCCCGAAATCCAAAGCCTGCTGAGCAGACATAAAAGTATCTCGATCCACAGCCGCTTCTACAGACCCAAAGGGTAATCTGCAGCAGTTCGTGAAAAGCAAAGGAGACAAAAGTAACCAATAGTCTTCAAGTCTTGTCCAGTGTGGTGGACATAGAGATCATTGATCAGCGATCTGAACAGAAATTAGAAATCACCGAGAAGCTACAAGAGGAAGGCGCCATAAAACGGACCTCATCTTTAAGATTTCCTTCGCTTGAATGGCAATGTCACTTGCTTGTCCCTTTTGAAAAAGTATAAGTATAATTCTCGCACATGTTAGGGAAGTAAAATACAAGGCGGAAAAGAAAAAAACTAACGTAGGCGCCCCCGACGGCTGGTGGATCATCACTCGCGCATACGGCAACGCGTGCCGTCTGCCCTTCTCTCCGGACGTCAAGAGAAGCGAACCCATACTGCACGCCTGCCCAATGCACACCGTCGTCACAGCGGGTTTGATGTACTGCATTGTGTCGTAGATGCCCATTCCGGAAGTAATGCAGCCACCTAAGGCCAAAATTACCACAGATGCGAAAAATAAAAAATAAAAAAAATGAAACCTGGGCTATTTATATACATGCTAATAGGTCTATTAGGGTTCTCTGCCTCGAGATAGAGCAACTGGGCAACAATTAAGGCAGACGAGTAATCATCTACCTTTATATTGAAAACTAATAAACATATATTTCAAATGTTATATAATTAAAAATATAAAAAAAGTACTGGCCCCATCAGACATATTATCCGCTCTCTTAGTAATCTTGAGAAAATATCCGCATATCTTTCTCCTCTCGGCTAAAAGCAGAAAAAGAAATTATAAAAGAATAAATTTTTAAAAACTAAGTAAAGAAGCTAGTAAACAAGTCTTCTAACAAAGAATGCTTACCGTTTCCTCAACTACCATTGGCACAAGTTGGGTCAAGTTATAAGTTCCGACAAAATTTTCAAAGTTCTTTACTAAATTTATATACAAAAATATAGTAAAATAGGGTAAAAGTTGTAACCTTGCACTCAAGGATAGTAGGTCGATAGTAACTTAGCTTAAAGTTTACAAGTTTTAATTTGAAATTTTTAAGAAATAAATGGCGAAAAAACATTATTAATAATTTATCTATAAATTGATCCTTTTTATATTTCTGATTCACAAAGAAGGTTCATGATTTTTGCTTGGGAAAGCAGTAGGTTGTCAATTGTACAACCGCCAGCTGCGCCACAAACACATGACCATCCAGCACATTACAAAACATTCTCCTACATAAAATAATAGTAAATAATGCCAGTTCCTTATAAATCATTAAATTATACTTTTTTCAGATAACAGGTTATCAAAGTTTTTCGGGAAGAGCACAGATTAATACACAAGGGAGAACTGCTTTAGTGGAACGAAAACTTTAATTAGTGACACAGGAAAGTTGCTCTTTCTTTTTTGTTTTGTTTGAAAAATAATATTTAATAACTTTTCTGAAAAATTATAATGAATTAAACAATAATGAGTGTTTAATAAATAGTACTCTCGTTCAAAGCTTATTATAAAATTAATGTCAATAGAAGAATTACTGTTAATAAATCATAGAACAGTACTCCATTGGAATTGTAACAACTACACAGTAAGCAGTTTTAATTAGTAGCGTATTAAGCTGTGCAAGCGCATACTTAGTTACAAAATCTATGAGGTAAAGGCGAAGACAAAGATATATATATATACATACAGACAGACTACGGAAAGGTCAAGTTTAATTAAGTTAAATTAAGTTACATGCTCTTACCAAATCTTAAACAGTGTATGAATTCTAGTATTGGCAAAGAAAGTTCAGTCATAATCTGGGTCCCATAAGAGGCTTAAGTTATACTATAGCCTTTCTCAGTCTTGTTATTAGCTCTTTAGCTTATACTAGTAACAAACAGAAATTTTATTCCCCCCCCCCCCCCCCCCCCCCTTTCACAAAACAATAAATTATAATTATTTTACGTATTGTAAATGTTTTTATGAGTAGGATTAGGCTTAAATATTTGTTCATTTACATGAGATGGTCGGTTAGAAAAGTGGGTAACCTAACCCTATAAGTAAAAAATCAAACGTACTTAAATTAATCAAAGCTAAAGCTCGGTTGAAAATTCTGCTCTGATCCTAGGTGTTGTGTTGTTATTTCAAAAGTTGCTTCAATCTATAAATTGCTGTTTTGTGTTCTAAAAATTTTTAAAATTAACCCTTAAATAATAGCCTTTCTATATTATATCTTCCAATAAAAATTTCTTTTACAAAAGCCTGTAAGGTGATGGTGGCAATATTAATGGTATTAAGATATATATCCCCAACCAGGCTACATACAGTAATTTAGCAATGCGTTATAAATGAATTTGAAATGTATTGCCTCATTTAAGAGTTTGATTAAGATAAAAAAGCTCGCGAGAAAGAAAAAGAGAGAAAATAAGAAGCTAAATGCACCTGCCTATAAAATAGATTGGTTGTGTACCGTGCACTATACGCAAAAACCGAAGCGCATGAAATACGGGCTTGAGTGTAGACTGGATTACTGAAACTTTACTCGGCTTTTTTTTTTATTCTATTTTAAATTAAGTGATTATAATTTACTTAATATCCAAAATATTACCAAAATTTATTAATTTTTAAGCAGTTATTAAAGTGGGGGAATCCGCTTTGTTTGTCTCTAAGATAACGAAAACTAAAGTTAAAGCAGTGCCACACGTAACTAAATATCGATGTAATTAACGTTTTAGTATCTTAAAGTATAAAAATAGGTTAAAATTATATTTAAAGAACGAAGTGCCTTTAATTAGTTAAAATTATACTGATGACCTAAACTTGAAAAAAGATACCTCTTTATTGACAATAATATTAAGTCCCACTTCCTTACAAAAGCAAAAATAGGATAAACTTTCTTACCTGCCTATGTAAAGCAAAGGACGTACTTGAACCTGTCATTAGACATGGTTTTTTATTAGCTTTTAACATTATGTATAAGAAGACAGTTAACTTTACTAGAAAAAACTTTTTTTTTCGTCCTTACAAAAAAATTATCATTTACCATCGGATATAGTTTACACCTCACTAAACGGGGATGTTATAAGTAAAACTTAAACCGTTTAAGTTTACATTACACCTAAAGCCTTGTCCTATTCACTTAATTAGGTGGTTATATGATTTTATGGGAGACATAAGCTATATTTTCAGAGTTATTTTTAAAATATAATTTCAATTTTTTCTCAAAATGTCTTCTCACAAGGGTGGAAAGTAATGGCTTCCACGTTGCAATGCAAAGGCTCACGGGCAATCACAAGACCAATCATAGGGAATTTTATTGATTTGTTTATTAGTTTTAACCATTCGACAGTACGCCACCCCTTTCCTTTCTAAGTTGTCGGGTTCTTTCTAGTGTGGTGCGCTGCTTCTTAGCAGTCAGCGGTAGTGCTGTGGAATATGAACCTTATAATAATTTAAAAACGCTATTTTTATTCCTTTTCTAGTTTCATCAGTTATATTTAATTTTTTTACCTTTCTACTTTCTTTATACAGCGTTTGTTCCAAAACTTTGGCTTTTTTTTGTTCTGGTAGAAAAAACCCATAGGTTTTTTTATTACGTATAATCAGCGATTGGAATGGCCGAGATTGTTTATTTCAACGGCCATAAAATTCAGAATGATACTACAGAAGAGAATGTTTATTATAATTCTATAAGAAGCCCACTAAATGAAGTAGAAAGAACCTTTCATAAAGAACCTAGCAGCACTCATAAACCTATAAACTCCAACGTAGAGGCTGTTATAACTGAAGAAAGCTTACCCATTACTAAAAATAACGAACGTGTTCCCCATCCAGAGCCAGTTAATAATCCTTGGAGGGCTCGGCCCAGGACCAACGTGGGAAACTTTCCATCTTCGGCCGTCTGTAAAAGTGTTTCTGTTCCTTCACCCTTAAATGGCCCTGAGTCCTTCCCTTCATTATACGAAGAGATTAAGCACACTAGTGAAAAGTCAAAGGTATCTTCTTAAAAGGATTTTTTACCTTTTTTATATTGTAACCTACATTAAAAATGTTATTAAGCCAATTTTTCCTTACGAAAGCGCTGAAAATTTAAAAAAAGGAAAATCCAAAAAGTGGAAACCCCTGAATATTGAGCTTCGTACCACTCATACGACGTAGCGCTTTTTTTTGGCACTAGAGTTGAATTTGTTTGTAAAGCTTATATATCTCGGCCGTCCAGGGAAACCACAATATTTCGGGTGCCCGGTAGAACTGGCCGCAGCACTTCGAAGTTCTACAAAACGTCCTTTACCAAGTCCGAAAGCCACCAGCATGAGGTTGAGAATGATCGTCAAGGTGGGCCTCCTAGAAACAGACTCAGACCTAAGGCGCAGCCTAAAAGGAAAAGGCGGTATAGTCCTTCCGCTCGTCTGCCTGCCTCACGTAGTTTCCCGGTGGCCAGTCAATCTCCACCCAGCAAAGGCCCCCGTCCATATAAACTTATCAAACCAGCGCCACGTTCGCTACGCAGTATAAGACCTTCAGAGGCCCCCCCCCGCCCTTCTTCTGCAGAAGTTTTATTTACTGAAGAGGCGCTTTCTTCTGGTGAATCAGCCGCTCGTTGGAAATATCGTTACAAAAGCAGACCTTTTACGAGTTATAAGAAAAATACACCCGACTACCCCTTGAGCTGGTCCGACTCGCAACCGGGCATAGAGAGCGGGCCTCTACTCTGGTCAACCAATCCCTCTGCTGCTTTTTTGGCTCCTCGGCAGGCTTATCAGGAGCAAGAGAACGTGTCTGCGTCTTTGACCGCCCCACCTGTTGATCCCATGTTCCCTTCTGGCCACTATGCCGGCACGTACACCCTGCCCGGCTACGGCTATACCGTCTACTATATGATACCACCCGTTGGGTTGGACAAGGACGCGTTAGCATCTAAGATCCGGGCCCAAATGTGCGCATCCGTACTTATCTGTCTCTGTGTTACTGTTACTTACTCTGTCGACCTGCCTTAAGAGAATACTACTTCAGTACGGAAAATCTGAGGAAGGACGTCTATCTAAGACAGCACATGGATGCCAGTGGCTTTGTGCCTGTCTCATTTATTGCTCAATTCAACCGAGTGCGCCTGCTAACTTACGACCTAAATACGGTCATTGAGGTATAATCGATCCTTTATACACCGAAACCATATTAGTCGGCACTACTTCGCTCCACTGCTCAGGCCATTCAGCCAAGTTTAGAGTTGGAGCTGAGCTTTGACATGCAGTACGTGCGGAAGCGATACGACTGGGAAGCTTTTTTACCGAAAGTCCTCCACGAGGAACCAAAGGACGTTCAGGTGCATTCCCTCTCAGCTTTGCGTTTTTGTCACATGGTTATTGTCCTTCTTGGCAGCGGTCGGGGTTACAGACTTCACGGAACCACGAGTCTCTTGAGAACGATCTGCTCGCGCTCACCCTTACAGGAGGCAGTGAATCAGCGAGTCGGAGGTTGGAGGGCTCCATATCTTTCTTCCATGGATATTTGTTAAGTACATTCTATATCACGACCCCCTTGAAAGGTCAAAGCAAACCGGAAGACTGTCGGCTAACCGAACGCTATACGATCACGAAAGCCCTTCGAATGCATTCGCAAGTGATCTCGAAGATGAAGAGATAAGCAACATCATGATCATCACTCAAACATCGCCTGCAGGAAAGTCCAACGCTCTTTTAGCGGGTTATTTAGTATGTTTACTTGTCATTTAATAATCTTAAGTCTGCTCTCGGCTTGTAGACTCCTCGGCAACTTTTGATAAGTGGGCTGAAATGATAAATCACGGGCTTTACCGCTACGAGCAGGATTTGCTTTCGAATTGCGTTCGTCTTGATGTCGTTGTACTTTGAAGTCTTCTTTTGTAAATATTCTTGCGCAGGATAAGCCTCAACGTATGGCGCTTGCAGTCCACCACGACGAGTCTGTGACGCCTTCTCCTCTCAGTCTTGCTACGGAGTCTTCTCTTGCTTCCAGTGTAACGCGTATGTTTTTTCTTGGCATTGAGTTTCATTCTTATTAACTTTCTGTTAAAGCGCGGAGGGCTCTGAAAGTCCTACGCGGAGCGCCCCGCTTTTATCCTGTAAAGCCCCAAGACGAGTTGTCCAGGCACGAGGTGGGTGCTCAAGACTCTGTGGTGGAGGCGAATGTGGGGTGGCTCATGCGGACAGCCTCACCCCACGCGTCCCCAGGACCACATTCTAATGGACGTGCCGGCGCGTTCTCGTCCTCCTTGCATCCGTCCCTGGAACTTTTAGAGGAAGGCGGGTTTGTGGAGCAGAAGTACCACACGTTCCACCAGGAGTGTTTGAGAGGTTCTTTCTGGAAACATTTATATTGGTTTGTCCAACTTTCCAATCAGAGCGCGCCAAACTTGGAGCTGGACGTTCTCACGAAATGAATACGCTGTTTCGCTTTTGGTCCTTTTTTTTGCGCGATCACTTCAACTGCAAAATGTTTAACGAGTTTCGGATGTTAGCCAGAGGGGACGCTGCGGCCGGCCACAGGCACAACACTAAGATTTTTTTTTTTTGGTCCTACATGTGACTGTGCCCGCGCCAGATACGGACTCGAGTGTCTTTTTCGCTTCTTCTGTTACGGGCTGGAGAAAAAGTATCGAGGAGGTTTTGTCCATCCCTCGCTCTTTGGGTGCTCGATGTCTTTTCCTCTCCCCTTACTAGATTTGTTTGAACTGTTTCAGCGGGACACGCTAGAAGACTATCGCCGGGGCCACTTTTACGGTCTTGAAAAATTCTGGGCATACCTTAAACATCGAAAACAGGCTGAGTTCGACCCCCTTGATCCGGCTTTGCGGGAGGTTATTGCCAACTACCGCTCACTCCAAGCTTCTCGCTCGCTTGCGGTTGCCTGGGCTCTTTTGGCCTGGCACCCCCCTTTTCTCACTTTTTAATTGCAGGAAGATACGGTACGCGAAGTAGCGCATCTGCACGGAGGTTTACTTGCTTGATTGGATCTTTGGAAGGGGCCGTTCACTTTCTGTGGGGACGGAAGAACTTTGGGATGTTACTTGTCGCGCTACTGACTGTAAAAAAAACTTAAACAAAGAGGGGTAAGGGGGCCGCACAAGGGCCGGATGCAGTATATTTTATTTGCAGTTTAAAAAAAAAGTACTTTGAATTGGTTTATTGAAATAAAGATTTTTTCATTTTAAAATTATTTATTGCGACTTAAAAATTGCTACTCTTTTGAAGCTTCCAGTAACTGAATTTCGATTCAACTTGTATTGCAGGCGTACTTCAGTCTTCCACACTTGTGTTAAAGGTTGTAAGTCAACGTATCTAGTCAACTTTGCAAGTCCTTTTTACTCTCGCAGCTATAGAAGTTATGGCACGTTCGATTGGTTTTATTAATAAAATTATTATATAAAGTTATGAAGGCTACGGGTTATGCTTATATAAAAGATTATGAAAAATAAATAAAAATATGTCACAAGGAAAATAATGGAATAAAGCTTGAGGTCTTTTAGAAAAATAATTTATTTAGATTTTTTTAACTTAATTCCTACTCTGATCCCTTTTTTAGCAAATTAAGCAGAACTTTTTAACATTTGTACACGCCCCAAAAACAATTATTCTATTTTATAAATTAACCTTTTATGAAAAAGACTCCCATATATTTAGAAGTATTATTTTTACAAAGCTTGTTCTCACACTTCTATTATAGACATTTAATCCTGTAAGTTAGCTGAGCGAAATAATAAAGATCATTTTTTTTTAGAAACTAGCACAACTTATAAGGCATATAATAACGGTAAAGATTTGTGCCATCTGGAAACAGATTTTTGGTGTGATTTCATCTTTGATGTGTCTACCACACTTTTGCCCCTCAGTTACTCCGTATTGTTGTTTAAATACCAGTTATATAGCGCTTTCTAAATATTCAGTAGCATATAAAAACTAGCCCCACAGCCGAAGGATAATTGCTATGGCGGTATAAGACGTTTGCATGCTTTTATCTGAGCTCCTGTTGTTGGTGTTAGCTTTCTTTCAGGTGCGTAATAAACCTTATAACTCAATTATATTGCTAATCTATTTTAGTGTTTCTGGCTGTGGACGCATTAGACTAATGGTAAGCAAAAAACATAAACGACTTCGAGAGTTCACACTACGCACCGCTTTACCATTGTCTTTGCTTTCTTTTGCTGGCTGTTTTTAGTAACAAACTTGTGTTCTAAACGACCGTAATAAACTTTATAATACTTTTTAAAGAATGATCCAGTATGATGTTCGTTTAAAACTCCTAGTTCTTTCTAAATCATAACCAAAAGCGAAGATACTGGTTCCGAAGTGGGAGATGTGAGTTTACTTCCGTCATGGAAAAAGCTGTAAAAATCGCATTAATTCTTAACATTTACATTAACTTTTCTTTTTCCACATGTTCCTTATATTAACTGGTAGAACAATTATTCAAAAAACATATGCTATTTACATACGAAAACAGCCTCTTTTATGGTACTCAAGGGGCTCCCAGACTGGTAATCTATTCATAATTACTTCCTGTTAATCAGATCAGGTAAAGTATTCAAAAATCTGTAATATGCTTTCCTTGGGAATAGTGCGGTTGCCTTAAATGTAATGTTTGTCGTTTAAAATAACAGAGAATTTAAATCTCTAGTTCAGTCTGAGCTATGAATAATGATAGAGGGTTAAGAAATGTAGTTAATTACAAAACAAAGTGGGAAAAAAAAATTTGGCCAAAACTCTCGTTAAATTATTTTCTTACAACACTACAAGTTGCTTGAGATTTATAAAAAAAACAAAAGTTGTCTTTATAAGGACTAATAAAATCTTGTGAGCTGCGCGATTATATTTGATATACTGGTAGTAACACTATTTAATAAATAAGCAACTTTCACGGTAGTTAGACAGCTCCACCTATCATCTATTAACAGCAGCTAGACAACAACTTATTAAAGTGTACATTTATCCCAAGTAATGGTGCTAATGCTATTAGTCTCATTGAAGACCTTAACTATGCAAAACCAGTTTTTTGGGGGGTACAATAGTGTTATTACCTAGAGTTTGGTGGTGGATTAGTAGGTTGTTACATATGACTAGCTCACCATGTTGGATTTTAACTGTTAGTTTCTAAAATTAATTCGAGTTAACTTCACTACAAAAGAAGGCGTCGTGGCATCCTAGTAGTCAAATTGCGTACAAGGGTTCTATCAAAGAACAAGGTTACCTAACCTGTTTACTTCAATAATTTTACACTATAAAAGTTAGACAATATTTTCCTATTTTTAACAGTAGGTATTTCTTTCTAACCGAGAGAAAAACAGCCTTTCTTCTGAGTAGTGCACAACTTTTAACGTAAGGGAGGTACCCTAATCACAAATTAAAGTGTTAACACTGTAATGATCAGTATACTTAACCAAGAGAGGCACCTAAAATATGAACTATCAGCACTACAAACATTCTATGCAGCAGAAACACAGCTAAGGTAAAACACTAATTCATCGACCTACATAACTAAATTTTCACCGAATAATAGCTAAGATCGAAGTGGTTGCAGCTCTAATAAAAGAGACCACGCGCTCGCTCCCCCTAAAAGATACATAAAGATATAGATAGATAGTTAGATGAAGACAGCTAGATGAAGACAAATAATTATTTTACGATGAATGCTAGTACACGGACGAGCGTCGATAGCACGAGAGTGGCAGCCCAATTACTTATTCTCCAGCGTTCTTGCGGAGCTCCGGTATGCAATTCCTCAGTGATAAAATTCATATCATTAGTGAAATTTTAGAATCAATGAGTAAGACGAATAGTCCTCTTTCCTAGCAACAATAAGATAAGAGGCTAGGCAAGAACACTGTGATTAGGATTACCTAGAGCGTCAGTGTATCAATGTCAATTATGCTTGTTTTGACTTTAGCTACGAAGTATGGATAGGTACTATTATGATTGTTTGGCTACACCCAAGATAAAGAGCCCAAAGAATAAGCTAAACATCTATCTAACCAATTTTCAATTTTCAGTTGACTGAGTTATAAGGCTCTTCATCGAAACAACAATAACTATTAAAGCTTATTTGGTATAATTATATTACACCAGCGTAAGCCCTATAGACCATCTAAACTTCCTCGTAAAGCCCCTGACTTTGAAGGCTTAGATAGTCTAAGTAGCTACTGGTTAGAGGTACCCTAAGTATACAAGGCTCTCTGTTGTTAAGGAGTTAAGAACCCTAGCCTCCTGTTTCTACGATCATTGATGTAAGTAGTCTCCTAACAAGGGCAATGCATTAAATACAAGACATCTCCAATTAAGACGTCCCCCCTGGTTCTAGCGAAAGTCGCAGGCTGATTCCGAATTAGACGGTTATAGCACGTAGCTAGTAAACATTCACCTTTTACAAGCTTAAATTTGTTTACTGTAAGGCGTCAGTTAAACTATGGTTATTTGTTAGTAAACTTATTTTCTAGGTCAACTCTGAGGCAAAGTATATATGCTGAAGTTTTAAGTTTTCATCAAGTGCAAAATACTACTACCAATCGGTACGCCGCAATAGTCAGTTCTATAACCTATTTCACTACCTTAGGGTTCTCTATCGCATTTACTTCATAGTACTTTCTAATATTTTAGTTCTCTTTTGAGTTAGCTTAACAATAACAAAGGTCTAGAGGTAATAGCTTGAATTCAGATCCCACGAGATCATTCTTTCGAAGCTATTAGCTATGTACGTTTCTCGAAACAATGGTAAGTACCTCTCAGTGATGTACCTATTAGCTGGTCCTCAGGGAGTTAGTCAGTAGTTAGCAACTGTTAGGTGCTTGAACCACTAAGGTCGAGAGCAACAGGTTAAACCTGTAAAACCATCATACCGGGATCGAGAGTTGTCGCCAGAGCTTAGCAGTAAAGGTTGACGCGCCTTACCCAAGGTCGTGGGTTCGATTCGCACCGACGCGACTCTTTTTTTCGGGTCTTTAATGGTCGCGTGTTTAACCTTTCGATCCCGGTGATGTTTCTACGAATTTGACCTGTCAGAGAGAACAGGATGCTGTTAAACCTTCAATCTGAAACCAATCAAGACTGGCATAATTAACCACTAGGTCGCTTCAACAAGAGAGAGGCTTAATAAGCTTCGCACTTTATTACGCAATAAGCTGAGCACCGTATTACTTTAAATGGTAGCAGAGCCAAAATGTAAACTACGGGCCCACCTTGTTAGGGAAGCTAAAGTCAAACAAAGAGAAAAGTTAGGCAAATTTGAACCATTTTCATTAATAATAATTTTTTACTACTATCTTAGTATTAAGTTATTCCTCTCATAGTTAGGTTTAAAACTCTCTCTAACCATATCAACAAGATCTCAAGTTCCACCTCATCCTAAGTTAGATAAATGGCGCTAAAAAGTCATTAAATTATGTACAAATAAGGAGTTACAAGGGTAAAGTCAAGTCGTTTTAGAAACGACGACAAAGTAAGCTTGTCAGTCAATGGTTGTAGGTCGAGACGTGAGCGGTATATTAGTTTGATCATTATCATAAAACGAAAAAAAATATAAGTACTTATTTTCCTCCCTATCGTACAGGCAATATAGTTTATACTTTCTACTCGAGCGTGTTCATTTTGATTGATAGTTGTCTCGTTTAATTCTTAAAAAAATAATAATTTCTTATTTATATAAGATAATTTTTTTTTTAAATAGTTTAGCATAATTTTTTTAAACATTCCCTCACAACTGTCACTCCAACCCTTGCATTATGCAGGAGAAGTGGATCAAAGTTGTTGGCTTAGCAGGAGCAGGTAAATATTTTAACTTTCTAGATAAAAAAATGCAACGATATATAAGCAATTATTCTATAATTATTTGCTTATATAATAAATTCGTATTTATAACTATAAATTTCTGCAACAGTAGTGAACTGGACAATACCGATAGCTGTAAGGGTTCTTTAAATCACAATTGTTATAATTGGTTTTTATTAATTTATATTAAAGAAGGTTATTATGTTTTATAACTAAATAATTGTAAAAATTTGTTGTTAGTTGTTATACAAAGAAAAATAAATAATATAAAAACGCGCCGCAACTCATATTCGATCCTTTGTAGGCACTTTCTAGTCTCCGAGATGACCCTTCCACCATAAATAGCGGTTTAACTTCAGGTTTTCTTTTCCTCTTTAAATTTTTAAAAAAGAATTTTCTAAATTTTGATTTCTTCTTTTTCTAAAAAGTTTTTTTTTTCCTCAAAAACAGCTCTGATTGTGTACTCTGGACTTTTTATGCGTTGGTCACTGGCCATTAGCCCCCCGAACTACGTTCTCTTTGCCTGTCATGTAACGAACGAGATACTTCAAGTAGTTCAACTGGGGCGTTGGTTTATGTAAGTTAAGAAGAAGCATCTTGTCCCTTATATACATGTAAGTTGTATTATTTTAATAGGAATAAGTCCACTTCAAAATCAAATTTTATATAAAAAGTCTGCATGTTTTTTAACTTTACAATTCCATGTTTTGTCATATTCCGATAATTTACTTTATTGAATATTAACTTATTAATAAAATGATATTCTATAAGTAGCTTGAGGAAATAAACAGCTCTATAGCTTTTTGGGCAAAATATCAAGTTAGCATCAATAAAATTAATCGTTAAGCAGTTTTATAGTAAATCCACAAGTTAAACACACACACCAAGGATTCAAAGTATAAAGGTATAAAGTTAAGCAATTGCCAAGAAGAAATTAGGCAAATTCAAGATTTATTATTACTTTAAAAGATTCCTCTTTACAAGTGTAAAACCTTGGTTTTTTCATTTTTAAAAAGAATATAGTAAAACTAAGCTTTATTGTATTTCTAAACAACTTTAGACCTTTTCAGTATCTCTAGCTATCCTAAAAAAAGCACTTGAAGGTAGAGAGGAGAGGAAAATTACTTTAAAAGCGTAAGTGATATAACTAAGCAAAGATTTTAATATATATAAAGTAACGGAAAAATTTAGAAAGTACGTTTGAGTAAAATGAGTAAGAATGCTTTTCAGTAAGGAAAACAGCCATAATTTCCGAAAAAGTAATTTTTGCAACTTTATTAATTATTAAAATATATAATCATTTTATAAAAAACCGAAGTTTGTAGAGTTTTCGCCTAAAGCACTTATGTAATACACATTATTAATAAAATTTCAACTACCACCATAACAAGGAATATTTTAAGTTTAAATGTGGCAAGCGTTTATCGTGATAATAAAGCTTAAACTTTGTGTATAAATTTTTCCATCAAGCAAAAAACAAGTAATTTTTCGTTATTTGCCAAAAAAATAAGTTATATCTATACCTTATAAAGTCTAAATGAAAATAAAAAAAATTCTAAAAACTAAAATCTATATTTAAAAACCTAAAAAAAGGCTTACGGATTATTTAGAAGAGTTAGCCATTGAGATGCGTCAGACAAAATAATAATAAATAAAAAAAGTCGGCCTAAAGTTGGAGTAGGAAGAAGTGTAAGGTAAAAAAGTAAACTTTCTTTTAAAAGCGCAACACAAACTTTTTATGCCCCTCACACTGCCTCGTTAAATATTCTCAGAACAAATACATTTCTAAACACTAAGTAAACAAATACCGCGTAATTTTTAAGCGTTTTTTTTTAAAAAAAGTTAAGAAAAAAAAAACTTCAACGTTTACTCCCTCACGCTACGTCATACATTACAACTAATTCAATACCGCATTTCTTTACAACTGTTTCAACGCTACAACCTAAACCAAGTAAGAAAATTTTCACTTGATAAATCTTATCTGCACGTGAGATTTACAGCTTCGGAATATTCGAGAATAGAACGCTCCTTTACTGGAAATTGACAACCGGCACATGCAATAAATTTTTATAGGTAGAGCTCTCTGCAGGACTTTGCCGTCACTTCGAGTGTACTATTTTTTTTTTACTTTCTGATTCTGTGCTTAAAGAGCAGCTGAAAATGGCAAAGTGGGGCGAGGGAGATCCTAGATGGGTTCGCTCTTTTGTTTTGGACAATACAATAGGAGAAATATAAATTTTACGACTTTTAGATTTGCGAATTACGATCTGATGCCACTAATGTAAACAACTGGCACTGGTAAATATATTATAAAACCTTTTTACTCAAGCAGATGATATTATTTGTCAAGGCGTTTAGCCATTGACTGCTTTCTTTACTCATTATTTAAGGACAGAGTGGAAATACACCAATTTTACTATTAAATCTCTCAATCAATTGTTTACTAACAAAGCTCTTGTGGAGTTTGGGAGCACCACGGTTAGGTACAACCAAAATTAATGTTTTTATCATTTTTTTTATGCATATACACACTTTACAGTGTCACTAAAGTTAAGGTAGAAGGGGAAACTTACGCGAACAATCGTAAAGGAAAAGTTATACTTACCTATGATCACATTGTAGAGTTCACACTAAATGGTTTTTAGCCAGTAGAATTCTAATATTAATAGTTGAATAACTTTACTGCAGTTGACTCAGGATCCGACAAGTCGGTGGAGGGAAGCATATGCATTGATAACTTCGACGACACTAACGATCTCAAGGATTTGGAGGCATTTACTTTTTTCCTTTTCTTTTTTTTTGATACGAAATTTTTTGAGTAAAGATAAGGGTGTCGCTTAAGGAGGAAAACGGGGCTCTAAGAGAACTTATACGGACTAAAGGTCTGTCCTGCCTTCTTTCTAAAAAGTTTTTGGAAGGCTAATTTCAGTTTCTCTGCAGGTGGCGATGAAATTCGCAATCGGCTTCAACGCTTCCGGGAGGTTCTTTGGAAGGATGCCAGCTCGACTGTCCTTCTTCCCACTAAGCCCAGCGCTAGCGCGGCCCCCAATGGCCAGTCAGATATAGCAGCGGGAAAGTTTCTCTCGGCGGGGGAAACCCGCAAGCCAGACGAAAATAAAAAGACGGGAAGCGTGGGATGCAGAATCCATTGTAAAGCGTACGAGCGCGTCTTCAACTTCAAATGCTCAGCAACGGTTGTCATAGACGTGTCGTTATATATATAAATCTTTTTAACGCCACTCGACTGCTGTAAGGCTGCCTACGCCGTGTTTGTGGACGAGCAGCAGGTAAAAGCGTGGGCGGGCCACACCGCGACGGTAAGCGTTCAGAAGCGGTTTATCTCTGAGCTCCTCACCGACTACCCTCAGATCGACCCACACGTGGGAGGCGCCTTCTCGCTCTTTGACGGGAACGTTTCGGGCACCTTCACGAAGCTCGTCCCCGGAAGCGAGATACAGATGTCTTGGCGGCGGAGCGGCTGGCCGGACGGGCACTACTCGCTGGTTGTGCTGTCTTTTCGGGAGGATGTGGATTGCACGCGTGTTTCTCTGAAGCAAAGGGACATTCCCGAGACGCATTACCAGTCCACGTCGGAGGGATGGCCTGCTAACTACTTCCAGCGCATTAATAGTGTGTTTGGTTACGGTGCTAACTTTGGTGCTTTCTAAGTCGGCCCCGTTTTGTGTACGGGGCGCATATAGTGTAGAGCGGGACTCTTTTACGCATTAAAAGCGCTCAATTGTACGTAATAAAAAGCGATTTTCACTCAGTCTTATAATTTATTAAGCATTAAATACAACGGGCGACGCCTCCCGGACAGCTGTTAGACCCCTTTGCTTCCACTTCTCGGCCGGCACCCACAGATCAACCGCGTGGTTTAAGCGAGCTGTCGTGAATAGGGATGGGAAAGAAACTAGCGCACATCACATACGCGGTTACCCAGAATAGAGGCTCCCTTCCACGCTAGAATAGGCGGTTCGATGTCCCTCGAATGTACAACGGTTGCCACGTGGTCCCCCTCAAGAGCCCTGTTTAACCTACAGAAGGCTGTGGTTGGTGTGGAAGGAAAAGAAGTGTTGAAAGAATGGGGCACCTCGCCTGGAGCGCCTCAGCAAAGTTTCTGATGAGAAGTCCTCCGCCGGATAGCAGCACGCAGCCTTGCAGTTTCTTTCTGGAGTCGTCCGACACTACGAGGGGGCGGCAAATGTGTAAAGGCAAAGCCCTCTAGGATGGTCAGCTTACAGCGTTGTAAACAGTAGCATATGGTGGACTCCAAGTCAACGGGGGGGTCGGACGGTGTTTTAACATTAGCCTCTTGTCGATCATCGTGGCGAGCTGTTTGCTCGCTGTGGCTCTCCGCGTGCAAAGCAGATGGCTGGAAGATGTCTATAAGCAAGGAGAGCGCATGTCACAGGAAGGCCGGACACACTAGGGCTGTGCGACGCCAACCGGAGTCGGGCATGTGGATCTTCAGGTGCGAGATGATAGATGGCTTGTGGGCGAACGGCTTCTTGTAGCGGGCGCAGTTCTCCCAATCACAGAAGTAGCCTTCCTCCGTCCTTCGAGGACGAGTCTACTGGTTCTATTGGCTCCCGTTGTAAAGAGACTGCTCGCTACCTTATAACGTGCTTGTGCTTCATGTGGCTCCTCAGGGAACGAAGGCTTTCAAAGTTCTGCCGGCATAGGGGATGCTTGCAGTAGTAACAAGTGGGTTTGCCCTCGACGAGCTCCTCTTTTTTGGAGCTCAGCACATTTCCTTTCAGCGCGTGGAACTGTGTACGCGTTCGGCGGGGGAAGCAGCGCAGGAACAATGTAAAATGGATACAGCGCCAAGCGACCCATCCTCGAGGATATCCTCGTGGTCCACTTCCCCAACGGGTTCTGCTAAGAGGCGGTGTCCAGTCCCCAGAAAAAGCACCTGTTAGGCGGCGTAGAGAAGCTTTACTGCGAAAATACTGTAAAACATGGAGGAACGGAGGACCAATGCCGAGCGGTAAACTTCCTCCGCAAACTTAACGCTGTACTTTTGCGTCTTTTTATTTGGTCTCCGCACGTGAAAATGACGGATCTCTGTTCTTATAGCGTTCTGCCACGTGATAATAGGTTTAGAAAGAAAAACCGGGACGGCATGAGTGGGACCTCGTTAAGATGGCAGTGATGCTGCTTTATCTCATCGAGCAGACACCAGTCCAGTCGATTATCCGGGTCGCAGGTCGCGTATGGAAAGCCAATCCCGGACAAAAAGTAGTAGAGAGCACGAGTAACGTCGTCGCCTCCGTAGTCGAGTCTGTGATTGCTGGAAGCCACGATACTCCCGTCCTCCACGCAGCACACCGATGTGGTCTCTGCGCCGATGTCAACCACACATGCGGAGGGCACACCCGCCCCAAACGTGGCGCAGAGTGCTTGCTGAGGGCACAAGTAATAAATGAAGGGCTAAATATAAAGTCAGTCGGCGGCCACCTGGTGCACGAGGACAGCCCGGCACCTCATCATGTCCATGACGACCTTTATTAGTATAGCGCAGCAGTGAACCGCTCCGCAATAATAAGCCGAGCAGTGCAAACCTCGCAAAGCAACTTCACGTGCTTTCTGGTGACCGTATTGGGGACAACAAGGACCACGTGGTACTCCTGAACGGCACAAATGATTAGTGGGACATACAGAGGGTGGGTCAGTGTTCACCTCCAAGTTTTTTGCACTGAGATTTAGGTATTTTTGAAACGCTCTAGTCCAGAGTTGGTAGAGCGTCATCCTGAGAAACTCGACCGACCGGCTTTTGTCGGTATTCCCTGAAGTTTGTAGGTTTTGCGTTTCGTTGGTAAAGCGCGGGGACGGGCAAGTAGAAAATGCCTTTTTTAATGGGCCACACCGTTTCATAATAGTCGTCGTTTTCAATCAGAAAGACCTGCATTACAACCATCACCGTAATAATAATAATAATAATAATAATAATAATAATAATAATAATAATAATAATAATAATAATAATAATAATAATAATAATAATAATGACAATGTTAATGACCTCTTCACCTACAAGTAGCTCGGGGCGGCCCTCTTGCTTGAGGTCGACCCACGGGACCTGGAAAGAACATGACAAAAGCGAGACACTGCGCTCCTTAAGAAGACTGACCTCTAGGTCATCCAAGTGATGCGGAACTGTTTCCGGATGGCAGCTCATATTAAACGCCGTGATCTACTCATAATAATAAAATAATATAATGATAATAATAATAGTAATTGACGTTGGCAGTATTGAAAGGAGGTTTTCTAAATCCTGGCTTGAACTTATAATTCTCGTTAATGAAGTTAACGGTTTGCTCATGAAGTTCCTGAACTTTTTATTATTTATTTATTTATTAATTATTAAAGTTTTTAACTTTCTCTTGAGAATTTTTTTCTAATTCGTTGTGGTTATTTCCTTTATTCTCCTCTATTCTTCCTCCATTTCTTTCTAAAAATTATTACGAGTATAAAAAAAACTCATTAATTAGCTACAAACAGACACGGAAAGTATAGATCTGCCCAATAATATAAAACTGCGTTAATAAAGAACGTAAATGCCAATTTACTTCATAAGAAACAGTTTATTTCATCAAGAGTTAACTAATAAAAGTTATTACAAACAAATACGCAAAATCTTCAATCATAACAAATTATTTCAAACTGTGTCAAAAATATAATAGGTGCCAAATTACAGACAAAACAACATTTTTAGTATAAAAGTATTAAAAAGTTTTATTCATTGGAGCAAAATTTGTGCAGAATAACCAAGAAGTGCGGAAGCGCAAGAACGAGGAGTGCGCAGTCTTCTGGCCAAGACATGGGGAATCACGTGGGGAAAAACAGAATGAGCCAATCCGAACCTTAAAAAAGAAATAAACTTTGGCACAGCTAATAATATTGCAAATATTGCAAGGATATAATTATAGCTAATGGGGACCGAATGATAAAATAGTAATATAATATTTATATTGCAATTTTTTCTTCATAAATTGTAATAAAAGTTTATTTACTAAATAATTTTTTTTGGAAGATATAAATTATAAATGTATAAATAAAATATAGTTGATTATGTTTATTAAAACTTTATTGTTAATATAATTTTTTTTATAACAATATTATATTGTTAAATTTTTATAAGCAAATATATTTTTTAAAAAAAGTATAATATAATACAAACAACTTCTGTATTAATATAACTTTGTACAAAGAACTTTTACTATCTATTTTAAAATTTTTTATAAAAATAAGATAAAAATTCTGTACGAATAAAACTTTTAAGAAAAAAATATTAAATATATATTATAAAAATATTATTTTTATGTAAATTTTTATTATATATATATATATAAATTTTATGATTAATAAACTTTCACAATATAGAAAAAGTAGATTATAAGTTTTATTTAGTATTTACTATTAATTTATTAGGAACGTTTGATAACTATTAATATTTATTGTTTATTGTTATTACTTATAATGAAAGCTATATACTACAGAATATTATAAAAAATAAAAAAAAATTACAATAGTTTTTACTAATAAAAAAAGTTATTAACAAAAAATTAGTAGTAAATATGTTATACAAACAAAAGTTAGAAAAAATTTAAGTAATTAAAAATATAACCACAAACCATATAAAAAGTAAAAAAAAGTAAAAAAAACTTCTACAGCAAAATTTACAAACAAAAATTGTTCCAAAATACATTATAAAAACGTTAAAAAGTTTTTATTTTTTTTAAAAATTAAAAGAATAAATCAAATTCAGAAAAAAATAATTTAAGGTATAAATTTATTTTTACAACTTTAAAAAAAGGTATAAAATAGTAAAAAGAATAAACTTTTAAAGTTTTTATACTTTTACAAAAACTTAAAGAAAAGTATAATTCAATTATAAACAATAAATTATTTTGCATGTAAAAGTTTAATTTTTACAAATAAAAAAAATATAAAAAAGTAAAACAAAACTTTTACTACAAAATTTGCAAAGAATAAAAAATTTTTATAAAAAAACTTTGCAAGTTTTTATTATTTCAAATTTCAAAAGAAAATTAAAAATCACCAAAAAAAGTAATTTTAAGGAAAAGTTTTATAATTTATAATTAAAAAAATTCGTATAAAACGTTAAAAGAAATAATAAGAGTTTTATAATAAATAAAAGTTTTATATAAAAAATTTATTGAAATTTTATCAGAAATTGCTTAGTATGAAATCTTTTCTTTTGTAAAAATTAAAATGAAAACTCAAAGATTTATAGTAATTGAAATAATGCAACTGGTATACAACAGAAATTTTATATACAATAAAGTTTTAATAAAAATTATTATTAGAAGTGTTTTTAATGAGGTAAAACTTTATAAATGAAATAATAATAAAAATTTAAAAATATTTTAGTAAAAAAAGTTTTTTTCTGTAAATTTAATTTGTATAAAAAAGTTTTTAATATATTTTAATTAAAACATTTTTCAGTTTAAGAAAATATTTTGTAAGTAAAATAATTTTATTGAAATATTTAAAAAAATAAAAGATTAATAGTATAATCTACTATAAAAGTTTTCTTTACTACAAAAATATATTGATATAATTTAATTTTTAAAGGCATAATAAAATCATATTGAAATAATATTATTTTAAAAGTTATTAATAATAATAATAAATAAAAAAATAATCGTAAATATAAATTTTTTATAAATTTAAATAATATTTTTAAATATATATTAATATTAACTTTGATATTTAAAATTTAAAAAATAAATTATATAAAAATATATATATAATAAATAATACTAAACAAGTTTAAAATAATATAATAATACAAATAATAGTATAAATAAATAATAATTATAAGTTTTAATAAATAATATATATATCTAATAAAATAAAAAAAAGGTAATAATAATAAAGTTATAATTATATAAATGAAAGAAAACTTTAAGTTTTTCGAGCCGGGTTCGATCACTAATATATTTGAATAGTGAATGTCTTCCTAATAAATTTAAGTTATATAAAAATAAATAACGAATTTTTTTTTTTAAATGTAGAAACACTAAAAACAATAATTTTCAAAACTTTAATAAGTATATAATGTATATTAACTTGTTTAAATTATTTAGACATTTTTAAGTTTACTTTGTAAAATCTAATTTGACTATAGATTTTTTATTTATAGTTTAAGCTATAATATATTGATAAAAAAATATTTAAGGAAGTTGGAAAAAAATTAATGTTTTTATAAAATAAAATAAAATAAAAATTAGACTATATATATATATATATAAAACTTATATTGAAAACTAATTCACAAGTTTTTAAAAAAATTTTTTTAAGTATAGTTAGCCTTAATTAATAAAAGATTGTTATAACATTTAAAATGTCGTAGAATAACTACAAGCTTATTTAAAATTATTCTAAAATATTATGATACCTGCAATATTTAACGTATATTTGTATATCGGCCGTTAAAAATAATATTAAAATACATTGCCAACTTTATAGGATAAACTACTTAATAAAATATTGAGATTTTTTTAATACAAATAAAAACAAAATAATAACTGCAGTTTAAGAAAAGTCAAATAAGTGTACGCTTAAATAAATAATAAATAAGTCCAACCAAAAGCCTTCTAAGGAATGAGAAGCGTAAGAATTTTAAGTAACTAACCGAATCAGACTTTCCAGACTCCACTGCATCAGAAGCAAAATCTTCTGGAGTTACCGCTGCATTCATAGAATATTACTTTAATAAAAAAAGCACAAATTCTTTTTAGAGAACTGTAAGTCACAAGCTTCGTATGACAGGCACACACCCCATTCTGGAGTGCCATTGCTTGGGTTTTATTATACGTTCTATTAACTATAATATTACTTAAATAACTTTTTTTTTTTGCGCAACCCATATTTTAGTCTAAGAAGCTAAACAGTATTTTTTTATTATATCTATAATTTGGCAAGAACGCTAAAGAAAGAAGTCACTATTTAGTAATTATATTTGATAAAAAAGAATTCTTTCAGGACGGAATGGTAACGTAAAGGGGTTGAAATAGTTGTTACCGTAGTTTTTGTTTTTTAATAATATATTAAGAAAAAAATGTAAGATTTAACATTTTGTTGCGATAGTGTTAGAAAGCTAAAATATTAATAGAATTTTAAGGTATTTTCTAGGCTACAAACCAGTATCTGTTAAGTGTAGAATGCTAGAGATTCAATATTTAACAACTTGAAAATCTTAATAATAGTAATAATAAAGTAGTACTGTGTATAACCTAACAAGTTCTACATAAATTACTATTGGGTGTATGGAATCATTGCTTAAACTTAGAAGACTTTTAAGTAGTGTGAAGACAATACAGGAATGCAGATATTTACCATTTTGGCCGCAATTTTATATAGTAACTTCTAGAATTAAATTAAAAATATAGACTAGTTTTACTTTTGTGCGAGTTTGATAGATTAGAGTCAATACTCCCCGCCCATAAAAAACTAGCAAATTCAGTAAACTCACTTGTAAGTACGATTTAAATTGCTTTGCTATTAGGCGAGAAAGCCTATAAAGTTCTTCACTTAATCTGGCCTTTAAAAAACCAAATTCTTATGTCTAATCTTTGCAAGCTTAACCAAATATAGAAGCTTGGACAAGTTGTTAACTTGAGATACTAAAGTATAAATACTTATACTTTACCCTTTAGTTAACTAAAAATGTTTTAGAAGTTAATAAAACGAAAAACCTTGTTTTCTTGTGAATATTAAACGACTGAATAAATAACGGATCTAAAATTAGTTAATTTAAAGAAAATCAAAATTAGCTTTTCTATAAAAATCAGTGTCCATACTCGTGTAAAGTTTGGAGAGCTTATTGTCTATAGACAAACAAAGTACCCAAACTTCTATTAAACTTTGTGATTTTTGGAACCACCCTAGAATCAACGTAAAAAAAAAGTTTTTTCGAAAATAAGCAACTCTCAATATAGCAAAGCACGTACACTTGTAAAAACTCTTAAACCTGGAAAGAAACCAGCATGTTCTCTTAATATAAAGATTACGAAGATTACGAAAACTTTATAAAAATTACTTTTTCAAACTAAATAAAGTCTATCATGTAAGTTTTTAAACTGTAGGAAATTTTTTACAAACAATTTATTACTTCCTTCCCCGACCTAAAATTAGATTCATTTTTTTCAGTATTATTGTATTCAAAGGCAGAAATCGTAAAAAGTGTCAGTTGTATTATCTTTCTAATTAAAAAAAGAATTTTTAATAACTTGTAGAACAGGGGACAATCAAAATTTAATCATATTAAATTTTATTGTCAGTCTTGAAGTATACTAAAATATTAAAACTAAAAAAAAAATTCGTTGAAGTTTCTCCTTATAAAAACATAAGAAATATTGGTTAAAACACAAAAATAAGTTAAGGTTTTAAATTTGTAGTCTTAATACCACTAATATTTTATTAATATAACAAATTTTAAGTTTAACCAGATCCTTGCTACAACTTATATTATTTAATAAACAAAGGAGTTATTATGTACTCTTATTTTTCCGCTTTGGGGTGTAAAAATTTTTTTCTTATATTTCACACCATATATTTGTAAAAGTTGTTATGTTCACTTTATCAGTAGTTTAAGGTATAGTCCCTCTAATCATTACTACCGGAGAAAGCAAAACTGGTTACCGAGTTTAACAATAATAGAAAATAACTACCTTTTAATAAAATAATAAATTAGGTTAAGGGCAATTACTCAAACAGCCGAGTTATGCTATAATAAATAAAGCTTAAGCAAATAACTTTTAATAAGTTTTTATAACTTGTCTTTAAGGAATCACATAAAAAGTGCTTTATAATAATTGTCCTATAATACGTAGGCAACGCTTATTATGGTTGCAGCTAAATAATGTTTGTTTCCTTCTTTTTATAACATTGACTCCGGATATCGCCAAAAAGGTTTGAAACATACGGTGTCGCCTGAGTAATTTACTAATTTACTTATTACCTGACATGTTATAGCCAGACCCTAATTAAAAGAGGGCCTGATATACTGCTGACTCTGATCAACGCGGGCCCACCCGAAGGAGCTTGCACTATCATGACTGTCCCCGAAGGATGGGAAAAGCGGAAAATATCCGGCCCGGACTCCCGCTATTCGACCTAGTTTGGTGGAAAACCGCCAAAAAACTCCTGGGTAACGGTGCATAAATATAAGTATTGATGTTAGCAGGATATATGTATTTCTTTATTGTTTATTGATAGTATTTATTTTAATTTTATTTACTAGTTATTATAACAAATTTAATTTTAAGTTATTATTTAGTTATTAAAAAACTTTATTATTATTATTTTTATAAGGTTTGCTATTATATTTATATTTTATTTATTATCATATTTACTTATTTATATATTTATATATTTACTATATAATATTTTTTAAATAGAGTAATATACATTTTCTTAAGTTCTTTACGCAAAAATTTAAGAACCAACTTTAATCCTATAATTTAGACAATATATATTTCTTCTTTCATTATTCTTATAGATTTCGCTTTCGTTGGTTTTCACGAGTTCCTAGGTCGACAGAACTCTTCTCTTACGCTATATTAAACAAGTTGAGATTGGGATCTTCTAGAGCCTCAAAGATAAGAAGTACAATTTGCCAGTTTTGCCTCTGTTTTTTTTACTAGACGGCCCATACAAGTTACACACATTTAACGAAAGTTACAAAGGCTTCTCAACTCTTCTTAATTACAACTCCAAAATTTTTTCACTAGTTTAGAATGTCAACCAGCTTCTTTAGATCTAAAAGCCAGAAACATGCAATGCTTATGTTCAGTAATATTATTAAAAAGCCACGTTTAGAGCAAAATGTTATTTCAAAGGTGCAACAAAACTTAATTTCGACTCCTCTCTATTAATAAATACTTTTTAAATGGCTTTATACAGAAAGTTCAGTAAACAAAAAATAAACTTTAACGAAATACTATAATATTTGTAAAACACCGAAGGTTACACACTTATTATGAACTTGGAACGAAAATGTGCACAATTTTATTAACTAGAAAGATAACATGCATGAAAACTGTGTTATACTCAAATCAAAAAAAAAAGGGTAGTATTTGCAATTTTTTTATTAGATAAAGCTATCAGCAGTCACTAGTTACAACTTGGTAAATAGCGTTTGCCACGTAATCAACGTTTTCATTAGTTAATCCTAAATATAATCCTTTAAGAAACCTCTGTTCAAATAAATTAGTTCAAATACCGCAAATGTTGATCCTTCCATTACTGACGAGGTAAACGTGATGCTTCTCAGTAAGCAGAGCGCACTGGCTTTCTACATAAGACTGAATTAATTACGATAACCGGATTAAAAAGAACTACAAGCAAACCGGTGAGCCCAGTAAAAGTGAACATGCCCTTCTGATTTACAATATGCGACCAATCCCCTGTGAAACACACATTGCCGATGTTTCTAAGTAAAACCAACTGTAACGTGTACCAGGAGTGCTCAAGCGCTTCAGGCGAGTGTAGAGCTCCTGACGCATTTTTAAAATGCGTTCGGTCATTGCTTTTATAGTCTGAAGCCTAACAAAAGTGTAATATTTTCAGCGGCTGTGAAAAAAACTGGGCAGTGAGGTTTTTCGTATAACCACTCCTGACGCAATTTTGTAGATTTTAAAATAGTAGCAACCACGCGCGCTCCGTGATGCGGTGGATTGGAAATCATTGTTCGTAGAATTATTTTTAATTGGCTCTCGACTGCTTGCTTAGCCCTTGCAGACGCTAGAAAACACGTGAGAGCGCCCGTACGCTCGTCTTTTGGTAATATAAATATAAATATTACTATACAAAATGAATTAAATTTGTTTACCATAAAGGCCAAATATTTTGGAACAAGATTGACAAGCAAAAAATTCAATTTCCAACTGCACAGCAAGGCAGACTGCGCCCGCGTCAGTTTTTGGATCGCCCGTAGCTAAGCCCTAGTTAACTATACTCTTACTCTATTAAAAGAATAGTAAAATAGCTGTTTCCCTGGTAAGCAACGTCAAAAACAGGGAAATGGTGCTTAACTTTAATAAGTTTTAAAATTTTCTCCCAGTCTGAAAAAGTGGGATCAACTCCTAAAAAAGGCATATTAAAAAGTTGCATATAACTATAAACACATGATGGCGCACCGGTTGGATTATGGGCGCAGGCGTGCAGTAACACAATTGTGCCTTCAGGAAACGCCTAGTTAAGAAGAACTAAATATGCAATTATATTAATTATAGAAATTGTAAAGCCTCTAGATCTTCAAGCATTCCCTTAACATCCAAAGCTTTCGTGCTGCTTTCGTAATAACGATAAGGCTTCCAAATAAAATGAGATTCGCGAATGATGCTTTTATGGTTTTCTGTTAATTGTTAAACGATTTCTCTACTTCGCCTAATAGGATGAGAAAATAGTAAATCCAAACCCCAAGTTGGTTCAGAAATGGCCACAACTTTGCTAGTGTGAAACTTATTTAAAAACTCAAAGGCAACTCGAAGGGAACCCGTGCCTGTCAAAAAATTTAGTATTTTAATAATAAAAAATAATACAGCTAAGCTACAAACCTGCAATGCACTGCACTACAGCAATTCTTTCTTTAAAGGAATTAAAATTTCCTTCTCCGAGGAGTAACTCTGCCATAGCCAAGTTAAAATCTGCAAGACCAGAAATAGGTAGATATTCATGCTTTCTTTTCTCATCTTGAACAACTTGAAGTTCAATGTCGCGCACGACAGGTAAAATGTATGGCTTACCTTCCTCATCCCTATAGGCTATAAACTTTATTATTATGAATATCATTATTAATTATATGGGTTATTATTGTTATTTAGATTCATAACAACTTGCCTCCCACCCCAAGATCAACTTTTTGAGGATCAACGTCCTTATTGTAATTAGTTGTTACAGCAAAAATAGGATTTGGAAGAGCTTTTTCAAGTGATTCAAATACGGATATGCTCATCAGCCTGTAATAAGAGTATGCTCCAGCAGTATTAAATAAGTTACTAGGCCAGGCCTTCAGTCGCTTTGTTAGTTGTGTAATGAAAGCCAAACGCATGCCAAAGTGATCCAGGGGCACGCACCTTTAATATTAAATATCTTAATGACTCAAATTTATTTTGGTTTATGTATAGCAACAATAAGAAATGAACATATTATATAAGAAGACGATTCCAAGTGTCAACACTCGATTCCCTATAATAAAAATTTTATATAATATTAATGTTTTGGCAAGTGATATGATTTGATTAGCAGTAGGAAGAATTATTTTGAAAATAACTTATTAAACAATAAAATTTATGAATTTGTAAGTATGAGTTATAAAAACGCTGCTAAGGATCCTAAAAAGCACTACTTTAGTGAAAGAAAATTTTAAGGGATAGAAAAGTATTTACTTCTATTAAGAAAACTTGCTTTACATAAGGGGCTTCTAAATCTTGGTCTAAGTAATTATTTAACAGTTATTATGTTATTGCTATGAATTTCAAAAACTGTGATACCGACTTTATGTCACAGCCCTCTTATAGGACCCTTGACTATCAGTTATTTAGTGATATACTAAAAGAAAAGTTTGCATAGGCGCAAGAATAAGACTATGCCACTTATATAAAAACGAAAATGAATTAGTTTGTAATGCAGTTTTACATATTTGTATTAATTTTTTTTATCTTTTTGCATTAAGGGTTTAAAAGGTAAAAACCGTGGGTAACCTTACTAGTTCGTAGTTATTGGAAAATAAAAAATTATCTTAAAAAACTATACAAATAAATGGGACTATTTTTGCAGAGCCGGATTAAATAGTAACAATATAACTTTTTAATTATATAGAAAAATATAACTAATCTTTATAAGTTTCCATACTTAAATGTACTCTAGGAAATGACCACCATTCACACCAAAACTACTTGAAAGTTTACCTAAACATTTAGCACCTCCATTTTATGTAAACAAGTTACTAATCTGCCTTTAGCACCAAAAGCTTTAAGGCGCAGAATACACCTATACTTTCCACTCTTTCGTGACAAATTAAATACTATTAAAAACAACAGAACGGTATTATGATAAAAGTAAAAACTGCTAAAATATTAAATTTCTAAGACGAATTGAACACTAAGTTATTGAACGCCTATCACACAATAGTAAAAGATAAATAAATAGAAAGTATTTTTCGTATAAATAAACTTGGAATTTTTTTTGACTGGAGTGCGAGTGGGCAAGTTAGAAAAATTCCAAAAATTACTTAAAAATATTCAAGCTTCCACTTTTGAGAAGCCAAAAACTTACATAATCTTTTTATTTACGCTGCTGACTTTGTACTTAATAACATGCAATTGCACTTAAACCACTAATAAACTCCAAACTTGCATACGAGCGCGCTCTAAGCGTTATTAATGTTAAAATAATGATAAGAATACTCGCGAAAACTGAAGAATTATATTTTACCGAGCATTTTCACAAGTCTTAAATAGTAAAAAAGTATTTATAACGGCCTTGGTGTCAGCTCAACTTGGCCATCTGATCTGTGGCCTTGCCCCTCTGCTCGATTTTATCTTCCCTTTCATAAGTATGCTTTATTCCGGAAGTGGAGCTAAATATGATAAAGTACAATTCCATCATTGCCAAATGTATTAATTTACACTGTTTTTTAAGTGTTAATTATTGAATAAATAAACATAAAAATATATAAAGCTTGTATATATTTTATTAATTGTTCTAAACTATTAAGTTATGTGGACTCCTTAAAAAGTATTAATTTCTATAAAACTTTGGAAAATAAACTTCTTAAACTTTCAACTTTGGGAAGTTTTGATCCATTTACTGGTTCTAAGGTGGTTTTATTAATTTAAATTTATTATTTCCCATCTTTTTATTTACTAAAGGATTATATGGATATAAAACATTTGGAAGAACGTATTTCTGAAGGAAAAAAATTGTGGCAGCAACTATGTTATTGCACCGGTTGTTGAAGTTTTATTATTTTTTTAATTAAATATATTTTCTCTAATTGTATGTGTACCAGATCTTTTGCTAACTGAAGAAGACTTTCAAACCTGCGAACAAGATTTAGTAGAACAACTAATAGTGGGTTTAGGATGGCGGATTACAGGCGAGTATAAGGGAGCACGCACTACTAATTTTCTCGTGACATCACCCGATCCTTATGGTTTTGACTCTCTTTACTTAGGAAATGCTTAGTTATTGTAAACTTTCACGCAGGCGTAAAACTTGTGATAACCTCCAAGCTAAAAGAGAATTTTTCTACACCTGAAATTGAGATTTTTGATCATTTTTGCTCGAGTCATGTAGAAAGATACTTTATACATCAAAGAGGAGCTCAGGGAATTGGGGTTCTTGCCTTTGAAGTTTCTGATCCCGGTCTAGTCTTTTTGTTATTTTTAACAAAAACAAGTTTAACGTAATTATTACCACCGAAAGAAACGCTGGATCATATTGAAGATAAATATAAAACTTTACATCCTCAGCTGTGGATTGGTGCAAGAATATATAGTCCTAAGAAAGAGGCAATAGAAAAGAACCCATACTTTGGCACCGTGATGGGTTCTATGACTATACTGGAGGCTTATGCTTATTACAAGAGCGATAAAAGTTGTGCTTATGGTTTTTTTTTTCGTGGGGTAGTGTCTAATATGGTTCGGTATAAGTGGAAGCTGATAAGGGCACTGTGTTACGCTTTGTGTATGCAAATGGAGACTTTCACGGATTTCTTGTTTTGCCAGGCCTCCACTCGGTGACTGCGGAATTTGATGGAACCAGTTTGCCTTCTTACTCCGATCACTGGGTTATCTTTCTTATGGAAAAATTTTAACAAATTAATTTCTCTCCGGACTGACTTTCTGTGCAGGTAAGTAACGTAATAAATAGAGAGTCTTTTATAACTGTACTGGAAGACGTGCTCGGATTTGAGTCTAAAGTTGAATTTAATGCCGGAGTCATTACGGCGGGGCGTGCTAAAATTCAAAGTGACTCACTGTCTATATATTTTTTCGACAACATAACCGACGTGATGTATATATTACGGTGGATAACGGCGGGGATTGCAAGGCACGGTTGCGGGTAATTCTCCGTCTTCACTTCCCTCTGAAGCCGATTCCGCCCTTCTTTTAAGGGATCAGCACCAAGTTTATATGGCTATAAATAGCGCCATCACTGACACTGGCCACGTTTATAAGTTTCTTAAGGAAATCGGCCAAGGTGAGTCGCTGCGGATAAAACTAGTCTCAATTAATTTTTCTTCACTTTAAGGAGTTCAGCATATAGCCAGCCGTGTGTGCCATCTAGCCAAGTTTGTCGAAAGAGTTAATAATTATCGGTGACTTATTTTTAATTTTTCTTGCCCATCTTTTTTTTTATCGAGAGCTTTTAATAAAATTCCTTTATAAGCCGTATAACGGGCCGTGGCTTTCAGTTTATGAGTATTCCACGTTCTTACTACGGGCGCCTGGAAGTTTCTCGGTTTGATTTTTATTTATAAAGGCTCATTTGTTGGAAGCAATTAATTCCTTATAATAGTGATCTTCTTCCCTTGACCAACGACTTGGATCTTGCGCAAAGAGTGGTCTACGCATTACAGAGAGCCCATCTTTGCTCATCAGGCTTAGATACTGAGTTTGTTTACCTTATATACAGACTTAACCCTCGTGGGATTACAATTAGGAGGGATAGTTGAATTAAATTTAGAACCGGGCTTTAGCAGAGCTTTAGGTGATTTGAGGATATATATTATTATTATACCTTTTATTCTTTGTTTAACTTTAAACATAGAAACAATCCCCGAATTAGTAGATTGCAATTTACTTATAAAGATTAAAGAGGTTTGAAAATATACTTATGTTGGTGTTTTCTGAGTTTCTCTCTGTAGGCAGTGGCACGTTCGCGGTATTACAACTTGTACACACTTTTAAGGGACTGCCTCACTGAAAGGGAGTACCTTCAAATAGTCAGAAACCAAGTCTTGGTAAAGTTTAAACAGAAGCTTTTAGGACGTGGCGTAGATAATCTTTCTGGTTATAAAGGTTGATGTTCAAGGAAATGACGCTCTCTTTCAAATTTTTACTTGCAATATACTCCAGCGAAAAACCGTACTTAATTTTTCATTAGAACTCCGATTTTTTTATAACTATTTTTTTATTTCTATTTCAGAATGACGAAGCACCTTTTCTGGAATTTATAGAGCGGAGGTGCGCTTACAAACAGACGGCTGACGCTGTGCTCCAGCCCCTTAAGCCCGGTCCCTCTTATGCCGTCCATTAAACTGCAAAAGCATTTTAATAAAAATTAAAAGGTTGTGGCGGGTTCGGAATTAGGAATTTTTTGGCCTTATTTCTTTCAATTGAGGTTTTTCTTCTACTATTTTTTTTTATATTTTAATACTGTACACCTACGAGAAAATTGTTTTCCAGGTTTCTGAAGCCTTAAGAGAAGAAGCTGCCGCTGAAGGCACGGACCCTTCGAGAGCAGAGAGGGCCCGGTGCGTCAAGGCTTACATCGAATATACCTGTAGCCTTATTAATAGAGTGAGTGCCACCGCAGGGGAAGGGCCTGGCTGCTCTCTCTCCAGCTGGACGAGTCGAGTAATGCCATTACGGCTATTTCCGACGCCCTCGCCGCTAAGGGGAGGGCCACCGCTGCCATAGCAGCTTTAGAGAAAAGTAATTTTTTTTTTTTCTGTTGCTCCCTCACTTAAATATGCTCACGGACGTGGACGGCTTTTGTTTTCTGGCTAACATAAACAGGTAAGAATACCAATGCACTGGAGCTTCATAGGTTAAAGACTTTGCTGAAGAAGCAAAGTGAATTGGAAAGTCACTATAAAGCGAAGCTAAAAGAAATATCTGTCAAGTATGCTTCGTTAGCTTCACCGTAAGTTATTGGTCTGGCTTATTTTTTAATTGATTATTTACATTTATTTTTTTTGAATGCGTTAAAAGCTTTTCTTGAGATCATAAGGATATTCGTCATCGTTCGAACTTAATTTAATTTTTTTGGTTAATTATTTACATAAGGATAGTTTTATTAAATAAATTATTATAACCACTTTTTCATTAACTCATTGTATATGTAACGGTGTCTGTGGTAGCAGATTTGCTTCGATTACTCTAATAGTTTCAAGCCTCCCGTTACTTGATTGATTTATTATATAACTCAAACAAACATTAAGCCTGCAAAACCCAAATTTTTTGGTTTAAGAGTCTTTCAACTTTTTAAAGAAGGCTCAAATATGTTCTGTAAAAAGAGCTATTAGCCCATTTGATTAAAAATAAGATTCCACACTTTTATACTTCATTAGAAAATCAAATGTTAAATTCCCAAGTTGATCTGGTAGAGATAGGTGATCTTATTACTATAATATCAACATAAGAAAATTAAAGTATTGTATATGTTAAACGTGTAGAATTAATTTCTTTAAGTTTTATTTCTCTTTCGTATATAAAGAAGAAAGATAATGCTTTTTACGGACAAACATCTTTTTAATTACAAAATTGGATTACTTAGTTGTAGACAGTAAAGTAAAAAAAATGTTATAGATTTGATTGTTATAAACTTTAGTTAATCAAAGAACTGGAAATCGAAAATTCTAAAAAAAGTTTTAACTTAGCACTAGAGTAACAAGTGAAAACAAAATGAGAGCAAACTATATCGTGAATGCAGGAACTTTTCTATATATTTAAGAATTGGACTCCTTTGGTCACTCGGTTAAAGGATGCTCTTCGTATAAGTCTAAAATTGCTATACAAAAACTGCGCAGATTTTTGTCGAAGAATTTTGACATGCAGTGTACGATTCCGATATGAGAAAGGCAACCCGTTAATTAATAATTTTTATAAGTTTAGCGCGTTGCTAAAGCATTAAATAATTTTTATGGAAACAATTAGTGTACGTTTGGCGTATCAAAAAAGATTCTATAAGTATATAGCACAAAGGCGTTATATTGAAAATGGTAGTTTACAACTACTCTTTTATACTTACTACAAGCGATTGAGGTCGTTTTCTGGAAGATAGAAATTTTAGGATTAAGATAAATACTTGTATGTACATACCGCCCATTCGCTCCCATCTGTACCCTTTGCTATTTTTTTATTTTCATTTCTTTTCGTTGTAATGTCCCCCATGCGGTTAATCTGCGCTATTTTCGTATCGAACTCGTTGGTGAGGTAAAGATCGTTATATTTAGAGACTGCTTTAAACAGGTTTGTACCGTAATAACTTATTAATAACCCGGTGAAGCGCGAAGCCCTACTATTCTGCAATAAAGAGGAAATCGCCCGATAAACAACTTACTGCTATGTAAAAACAGTCGGAATGTACACTAATAAGAAGCCTAGTACTATCTACGGTGGTCTAAGTTCACAACAACCTGCTTCTCTATGAATGCATGTTAAGGTCTATACTTTTATATGCTTCTTCGTTTGTATCTACTTTTTAATAAGACGTACGCTACCAGTTTTGTAAAATACATTCGACTGTGCTTCGAAGCATTTTGATTAGTATAAAGTAGTGGTCTTTTATATAAAAAAAGTTTAAGCGTACGCCTCCAACGGCAAACCTGGCATTACACTAATAAGGCCGTCGAGTCTGGACGCCTTCCATCATGGTAGAGATTTAATAACCTTTGAAAAGCCATTAAAAGAACCAACTCAAACAATTTTTTAATACCTTTGGAAAGGCTCAACCTAGAGAGCATATCTATAATAACTTAAGGAGCGTAAAGCGCGTATTGGGCAGAGATATGGTCAGCTGGAAGATCGCTGAGGAACAGAGGAGAGGGTAGTAAGTGGTAAATCTCCGCAATTTCTTTATCTTTTGGTAAACTTTTTTAAGAGGAACAACTGCCGTTGGCTTTTTTTGGTGTGGTGCAACTTGGTCGCCCATAAGCAGTTATGCATTTTCTTAGTTTATAACTATTTGATCTTTAGTACTCTGTAACTTTGTGGCTTCTCAAGATAAGCGCTCAGTCACTCGGGAAGGCAATCAGGAAGACATTTAACTTCATGCGTTGCAGTAACGGATGTGTTAAACCAGAGGATATACACACCTTCAACTTCGTCAACCCGATGCGTAGAAGGGCGGGGTTGCTGGTAGGACTATTACCAAACATGTCGAGGAGGTCTTTAAAAAGGACAATAAATTTACTTTAACCCTTTAAATTCGAGTTAATCTCTTTGGTGCCTATCTTAGGCAAAACTGGCAACTGTGATACGTTGGCACTTCGAAAAGAAAATCAGTTGCCATAGAAAAAGGACATTCTATGCGGTATAACGATACATTAATCTCCTTTGTGAGCTTTAAAAAAAAAACTGTCGCACAAGAACGAGACGGTCGACAGGTTTTTAGAAACTTCCTATGTATTAACTTCAATTTCAGTCGTCGCTTGTAATTTGGATCAAGATTTCGTAAACAGTATTAGATAATAATTTAATAAACTTATTGCTATGTCATTAAATCCCTATCAAGCAAACTAATATTTTAAACTTACAAACCGCTTAGACGATTTATAAATAAAATTTGAAAGTAGTTGTAAAATAATTTTATTTGTTATATTTATTTAAATATATAAATTTAGTGGGTTATTAAATAAATTAATTTAACAACTCATACAAGTTTTCTAAAAAGTTAATTGTGGGGTCCTCTTTTAAAAAAGTCACTAATAACAGTAGTTAGGTGTAAATTAATGGATGCGGGAAGATAGTTAACTTATTTATTATGATTAAAAACGTCTGAAAATGCACTTGTGTCTACTTTAAACTGGAATAAAGTTTATGAAGCGGAAGTTGTATATTATAGTTTACCGCCAAAGAGGCCAAGCAAGGTAGAAGTAAAGAAGAACCATACTAAGAATTTTAAGTAAATATTTAATTAAAGGTTAAAATAATTCTTACTTCCACAAAGAGTTAAATGAAGCGAATCGATAAATATACATTTGTATGCGGCTCAAGTAAGTTCACTTTTTACTAAAGCAGTTCTCAGTTTTATACTAATCCCTGCGCCTTTTGTAGAGCTTAATCAACCTGTTATCTACAAAAAGTATACATCTCACGTTAGTTTAGTGAGAAAAAATTTTATTTTACATAATTTTTTTTATCGTGTTATTTTTTTTAAACTATTCACAAATTAAAGTGTTTATACTAACCTGAATCTCCATGTGGTTTCTGAAAAAAAATAAAAAGGTCTTGACTTTCTGTAACTCTTGTAATTAACAACTATTTCCTTATTTGAGATGCTGCTTGCGGTTACACATCTTTTTTTCGAACCATTTACAATTTAAGTGCACAAAAAAGAAACTCCCTTAAATAAATCCTTAACTTTTTAATTCTATAACTTTAAGAATTAAGTTATTATTTGTTATTTCTATAAATTATTTTGTTTGAAACTTTCACGGGATCTCTTACCCTGGATCAACTTGTGCCCTTGATTTAAATAACACCAGTTTTTCTAATAATTTCAAAAATACTTTTTTGAAATTACTTTTTCGTCGCAAAATGGACAGCTCAATCTATGTAAATAATAATTATTTTTGTTTAAAAGGATAAGCCGTAATTTTTAGAAACTTTGATAAAGCTAAGCAAAACAAGTTAGCATAGTATTATAAAATCTAAAAAATATTGGCCTCTTCAAAAATAAGCAAATGCACCTCGCGCAATTATTAAACATAGTAACCCACTTATCATGAAGGCTTTAGCGAACGGTGAAGTTTAAGTCACAAAAAAGCATTTAAAAAAACCGAAGTATATAGACCATTTGCTTATTTTTTAAAATAAAAATATTAATATATAATAGCAAACGTTTTAGCTTACTGGTCAAAAAAAAATTTTAAAAGGCTAAGTTGACATTCAAGCGTATTATAATATATTATTGGAAACGTTGCATGTTTGACAGTCCTATAAACCTCTAAGCAACTTTTACTAACTAGAAATACATTCTTTTAAAGGACCATTTAAATTTTATGGCAATAACTTTCAAAATTACTAATATTTTGGAGTTTATATTGTGTGTAAAAAGTCGGTTAATATTTTTTTGTTTTAGTAGAATATTAGAATGCTGATGCGTCATTATATAGGCTTATTACTTCGGTTATTGTTACGTTTACTTATGGAATATTTAAAGTCTGAGAAAAAATTTATAATTATAAGTAAAAGGCCTGAAAGTTGGTCGGCGCAGATATTCGTTTTCAAAATAAATCAATAATGAGGCTATTCTCTGTAAACAAAAGAAAATTCACTATAAATATTATATATTAATAGCTTGCCGTATAGTTCTTATACCATCCTTAAGCTTAATAATGACATTTTTTTGGTGTTTTAAAAAGTACAAATTTAATTGTAAAGTAAAGAAAATAAAAAGGTTTTACTGCTAAAATTAGCCGGCTGAAGAGAGTAACAAGCGCAAACATTCTGCGTACTATCCACACCACTAACAATACGGGCTAACGTAATTTAACCATACTCTGTGGTTAAAATTATTAACATACATTTTGTTAATAGATACTATTTTTATAGGCCTCAATAACCTTGCCCAGAAAAATTTGCTTACTGCTAAGAATAGGCTTCTAGATAATAATAAAGTGTTACTATTTGGAATATTTTTTTTATTTACTTTTCTATCCTTCTATTACCTGCTTGATCCCGTTAACGTAATGTTGTATTCTCTTAAAACTTTAACGATAAGCGCAAGTAACTCTCTACTGGCCAATTTTGTATATTAATTGCCTTTTTAAAAAATTACGTTTTACAAAAGGCAACTTTTAGTTAATTTTTCGAAGAGAGTTCTTATCCAAGATTAAACTTTTGTTGTACAGCTATTTAATCATACGAATATTTATAGAACAATATATTATTTACCTAAGACTACCTGAAAGTATTTATTTTTATACGTCCACCTGTATTGCTGAAAAAACAAAAAAAAAAAGGAAACCACAAACGTAGTTTTTAGCAAGCAGATTATCGTTATCAAGTTTAAAGATCCAATCACCATATTTACTTTTTACCAATCAGCACAGCAGAAGAAACCAGTTTTTGTGGTTTACGTATAATTGTTATTTTTAATCGTTCACTTCGAATTCATCGCTCATTTTTCGGCCGGTAATAAAAAGTTAGATTTTTTTAAGGGAAACTTTTTAATTTTTTAATAAAAACGACATAAAAAGCTTTTGAAGAGATATGAGGAAAATAAAGTTATTGGAACACAAATAAAGGAATACGTCTCCTTCAGGCAAATATTTATTCTATTAATGTTAACTTTCACAATAAACATGTAAGAAAAGTTTTTAAGAAATTTAATCTCATACTTTTTTTTTTAAGTGGCAAATAATTTAGCGTTCCGTTTATAAAAAAATTTGGTCCATTTCCAAGCTAGAATACACTTTTTATAAGGACCAAAGCGTTTTTAAACCTAAAGAAACTTTTATTATTCTACTTTTACTTTAAACTATTTAAATTTTTATTTCTTACAAAAAATCATATACTTCTTTGCGTAATAAAACTATAACAGCTGTCTTTTTTTTTCTTTTTTGTGTTTTGTATAGCACACGCGTAATAATAGCTGTCCATAGAAACCCCCAGCCAAGTCTTTGGACTGGCCAATCACCGCATTTAGGAAAAAAATATTAATTATTAGAGGGTCTTGCCCACCTCATTTTAATATAAAAAACAAATACGAATGAAAATTGGACGACTCCATTCGAGGCGTTCCCTTCTATACCAATAGTCGTTCTTTCTCTTTCTGTGTTTTTCGTATATATAAACATTGTGTTTTTGCTTAGCCTTCTGTTTGGCTCGTTGTATAGTCGTATCTAAAAGCTGGCTCCTTGTAGAATTCGGCGGGGCCTATGGCCCAAACTGCTTATTTTGCAGCAGTTTTATCTCTAGCTGCTATTATTTTTAAACTTTATTATAGTTTTTATTAGGTTGCTTTTGAATAATTTACTTAATAATTTGTTTTTATTTAAATCTTTTTAATTGTACATCTCTTTGTGCGCTGTGTTTTTTTTAATTCTTCTCTCTTCTTTTTATTTTTGTTAAAAAAAACTTAATTGTGTTAATAACTAGGTAAAAATAAATGCAGTACCCTGGCTACGAACAAGTGCCGCAGCAGCATTATTCTATGTATCCTCAGGATCCTTACCAACAACAAATTATACAGCAGCAAGTAAGTAGCTCTATATTATCTACAGTTCTAACTCACTTTATTATATAACTCTTTTTAAAGTTATACCAGCAGCAACTTCAGCAGCAACATATGCAACAGCATCCCATTCAGCATCCTCCGCAGCCGCCGCATTACCGAATGCCCCTTCAGACCGAAAATAATGCAATTGTTCAAGCCGATGAAGAGCCGTTATATGTAAATGCTAAACAGTTTGCTCGCATTCTTAAGCGTCGAGAAGTAAAAGAATCTTATTTTTTTTTATTTTTGGGGTTAATTAATCTTTTTTTACAGGAGCGAAGCCGACTTGGACGTTTATTTAATATTCCTCAAGAAAGAATGGTTTTATTTATTTTTTTCAAAATTAATTTTGCTATTGAGTAAATTTCTTTTTTATGTTGATAAGCCATATCTTCATAAATCTCGCCACGAACATGCTTTACGCCGTACACGTGGCGCAGGCGGCCGATTTACTAAGAAAGATGCAAGCGGTTTTATATTTTGAATTATTCCCTTAAAATTTTATTTCGAATTTTGATTTTTTTTTTTTTTGAATACTTTTTTTTAAAATAAATTAATGTTATTATGTATATTTTTACATGTATATTATATTTTTTCCCCTTACTTATTTATAATAATTTTTTTTAATTAATACTTAACTTGGTGCTCTTTCAATTTTTTTTTTATAACCAAATTTTTTTAATTACTATAAAAAATAATTTTTCATTTGTTTTTTTAAATTTATTATAATATTGTAAACATTAAAAGTTTTTTATTTGTATAACTATAAAATATTTAAATTTAATTTTTATATTTTTTATTAATTAAAATAAATTTAAATATTTATTTCTTGTTTGAAATAATAAAATATTTCATATAGAACAATAAAATTAATAAATCAAATTTATTTTTTCATAGAAAATAAATTTATTTTTCATTTTTAAGTATTTAATTTTTCTTTAACCGAAATTTTAAATTTAAATTATATTTATAATAATTTTTTTTTAGTTTAAGTTCAAGTTTGTATATTTATAAAAATAATTTTAATTATTTAAATTTTTTTTTTTGGAATTTTAATTTGAAAATATCTTTATACTACTATAAAAATAAATATTTTAACTGAATTTTCTTTTGATTCTCCTTTACTTGAATTTATTATTTTATAAATTATTTTTTATAAGACATTTTTTAAAATTTAATTTTAATTTTTTACAATAGTTAAGCTAATTTTATATTTATCCTTTAATTTTTTTTTATTTCAATTTATAAATCTTAAAATTCACTTATTTTTATTGTATTATAAATTAAATAAATCTATATGTTAATCATTTAACCTTATAGATTTATAATTCTAAAAATTTTCTTTATAAATTTACATATTTAAATTTTTTTAAATTAAAAAATTTAAATTTAAATTTTTTTATTTGATTTTATAGAATTAAAATATTTTTATAATAAAATTTATACAATTTAATAAAAATTAGTAAATTATTTTATATGAAACTGTAATTTTAAATATTTTTCATAGTACATTAAAATGGAGATTTAAACTTTGTATATTTTACAAATCTAAATAATTTTTAATTTCAATTACACAAATTTATTTAATATATAAATTTTTCGATTATAATTTCACCTGATTTCAGGAATTTATAAGTTTAGTTTAATTCTTATAGAAAATAATTTCAATGACGGTGATCAGACGTCTTTAATGAAGATGGAAAGTACTGGAGAAAAAGGAAATTAATTTTTTTATTTTTTACTTTAATTTGAAATTTTAATTAGTATTATTTTTTTATTATTAAATTTAATTCTGCTATAAATTCTTTTTTGGAAATTTTATCATGTGCTTAAGCGAAAGGAGACTATATTTTTTTTAATAATTTTATTATTAAAATTAAATTATTTCTTTATAAAAATAATTTTAATTTTTTTAAGTTTTTATTAAACAACTTTTTTTTTTATTTTTTAAACTGATTTATTATATTTGATTAAATTTTTAAATTATTTAATTCTATAAAGGGAGTTAATATATTTTAAATCTATAAATTAAAATAAATTTTAAAGCAGTTGCCTTTAGAGAATTGCCATTTATATAAATTTATTTATTATTAAAAAATTTTATTTGGCAATTTACTTAATTTTACTATTTTTATTATTAAACTTAAATTTTTAATTGAAACTGCAGTAATAAAACTTAACAAAAATGATAAATCTTATTAACAATTAGTAAATTTGTAGAAATTTATTTAGTTTTATAGTTTATTTATATTAATTATAAATTTTTAATTTTTGTTTTTAAATTTTATGAAATTGGAATTTTATAAAATTTAATAATTTATTTCAAATAATTATTTTATTGAATTAGTAAATTTTACTTTTTCTATAATTTGAAATATATTTTATTAAATTTCTAAAAGTATTGGATTTGTGTTTAAGGAAATTTAATTTTTTTATTGACTTTTGTTAGTTTATATAATTTTAAAAATGATAATGTAATAAAATAATTTTTTCTTAATTTTTTATTAATATAATTTAATTTGAATTAAGAAAAAATATTTATAAATTTTTTATGTACACTACCAGAAAAAAACAAGAAAAGAAATTTTAAAAAAACACATTTGCAGATTTAAAAAAGTCAAAAATTCTACTTTATGCATTAACAAAATTTATTTATTTTTCGGGATTAAATTAAATTTTGATAAGTATAATTTTTAAATTTAATTTTTATGTTTTATTATTTTTTTTCAGAATGAGAGCGAATTTATTTTTTAGGAAAACAAATCTACAGTTATATAAAAGTATAAAATATTAAATTATCTAAATTTACTTAATGTTGAGGTCATTTTAATCGTTGATAAACTTTCTTACATTTAATTTTCTTAATATTTTATTATATTTATTAAAAAGTGATCGCGAATTTGCATATACTAAAAGTATAAAATTATAATTGATAAATTATAAAATTCACTCGTTTTTGAGATCAAAATAAATTTTAACGTAAATTATTTATTTAAATTTAATTTTTTTACTGGTTTATAATTTATATATATAAATGAGCGCGATTATATTTGTCAAAAAAACAAATTTGCAGTTACAAAAAAAGTATAAGATTATAAAAATCACTAATGATTTAAATTCACTTAATGTTGAGATCAATTTAAATTTCAATAATTTTTTTTAATTTATTTTATAGAATAACAAAAAATTACAAATATTTAAATTAATTTAATTTTGAGATCAAATCAAATTTAATTAATTTTGATTATATTTTTATTACTGACGTTTTGTAATATACCCACTATTTACTTTCCCTCTAATAATATACGTATATATAATATATATATTAGAAGAGCATCCTCTTATTATTGACTGTAATTTAAATTTATTGTTAACTTGAAATTTTCATTTTTATTTTGATTTAAATTTCAATTGTATTTCTTAATTTTAAATTTATTATACTGTAACTTTTTTCATTTCATATTTATATTTATTTTATATTTTTGTTAAGTGTATATATAGATTTTATTATAATTTTTAAGTAAAATCTAAATTAGCCAATCTAAATTTAACCCATTTTCTAATTCTCATTAGATTATTATTGTTTCTTTATACCTTTAGGAATCTCCAAAGCGAAGTCCAGCAACAAACGTCGAAGGGGAAAAACTTCAGAATCCAAATCCAAAGTGAAGTGAATATTTTTATTGGATCGTTTTAAAAAAATTAGTTTTGCTTCTCTTTCCTTCTCTTTTTATAATGTAAATAGTCCACCGATTAATAAAGTTTGTATTATTATTATATACTTCGAAACATACTTACAATGATGTTGCCATCCCATTTATTTAAATTGGTGGTAAGCTAAATTAGTTAGCGTTCATTACATCGCCAGGCTAACTCTTCCTATTAACTATCAAGCATAATTCACTTGAAAACGTCTAATAAAGTTTGATTATAATCTAATTGTGAAGGTGATTTGTATATTTACTAAGGCGTTCTCACTCCTTTGGTGCTATTCCCGCAACGCTTATAAAATTTATATAATATTTAAATTAGTAACAATTTAAAGGAGGCCACTTTATAAAAACTGTAAATTATTTTATGTGTGAAAAATTAAGCAAGATCAAAGGCGTGGTTGGTTTTTATTTTTTGAAAAATTTACTTTTACGTTTATTTTGGTTACTGGTTACCAAATTGGCATTACTCTCAATTCGGAAGCTTACTTGAAAGAAGATAATTTTATATATTTATTAATGACAGTTGCTGGTGCTCGCTCGAGTTAAAACTTCGAATACTCGAGCTCTCAACCTGGAGTGATCGCCGATATATTACAAATAGTATTCAGGGTTTCATTTTTTAACATGAAAAAAACCAGCTTTTAAGCGCGTCACGTGGGCGGCGATAACGTGCCCCATCCTAAATAAGTCCGCTCACCAGCAGGCGATAAGAGCGCCTTGTGAGCCTGTCGTAAAGGACCACGGCAATGCCTTTGAAGACAATGTTTAAAGGACCCAGCTGAAGGTTCTTGTGAAGAGCAATATTTCTCACAAACTTCGGCGCCTTTGTCAAAACATGCAGAAATTTGTTCTGTTGCACGAAGTGCCAACTCTATTGCAGTGGAGTCGTAGGTTCAAGCAGCAGACGCGTATGTCATTATTGGCTAGAGGTGTAAGACAAATACAATTGCCGTTTGTTTCGGAAAGAATGCTTACTCATACCGCAAAAGTAAAGGATAATGCGCCCTGGTCGCTGCCTTAACATTACATAGCCCACGGGAGGTCGCCAGGAAATTTTGTTGTCGAGGATGACTCCCAAGTATTTTGCTTGAGAATACCATGGTATTTTCAGGCCAGCAAAAAGGGCACCAAACAAAGAGGCGCGTTTCTTTAAAATTAATGTAGCTTTGCTCTTCATCTCATAAATAGTAACCTTCTAATCACGGCACCAGACACCAAGGGGTTAAGATAGCGCTGTAGATACTAGTATAGCAAGGCGGGAGACTTCTAAGAGGAATACCCGCTCTTTTCATCAGCGTAGAGGGTGATTCGTGTGCGAGGGTCGGGACGGCAACTACACAACGCATGTTAACTACATATAAAAGGGGCGAGAAAAGTGGCCCTGTGGGCCCTGCTGACAGAGACCGAAGCGGCGACTGTACATCTCTCAAGCGCATGCTGAAGACGCGACCATTCAAAAATGATTTCAGCACGTTATAAAGACCGTGAGTGACGGATAACGAGCGCAGATTGTGCAGCAGGCTTTTGGGCCAAACTTGATCAAAATGCCTTTTCAACGTTAAGGAAGACAGCGACTGAAGCCTTCTTATGGTTAAAGGCGCGAGTAGTTCATTTAGTTGAGCGGAGGAGCTGCTGGGTTGTTCAGCGCCCTTGCCGAAATCCAAACTGAAACTCGGGTATAGGTTTTCGAGCGTCATCACCTCTTTAAGACGGCGCATTAAAAACGGCCTCCTCCACTTTGCCGAACCGCTGACAGGAGGCTGTTGGAGGTCGATACTTGCTGGATGCTGATTCCAGTTTTAATGTTTTTTGGTAGCAGCACAACGGTTGCCGTCTTCCGACGAATCGGAAAGGCATCAAGGAGCATCGAAGATTTTACAAGGAGGTAAAGCTAGTGCATCCCTATTAATGACATTTTCTTCATTATATCTCATTAGTGACGCCATCGGTGCCAGGCGCTTTTGTTTAGGTAGAGCTTCCACAATCGCTTGCACCTCGTCAACATTAATTAGATCAAGTGGTCCGTAGTTAAAGGAGTGGGGGGCGGGTAAGCTCAGTCGAGAGAAATCATCGTCATTAGCAGTATAGTGAGCAGCTAGCGCGTTTTGGATACCAGGAATATTGGCGAGAAGCGTAGCTTTATCTCCATCACCCCCCCCCCCCCCCTATTTGTGATGCTTTTAAGAAATTTCCAAGAGTGGTAGTTACTGCCTGATTCTGATGTAAGATGCAGTTTGCTCTCCCATTTGCTGTTAAAATGGGCCGTTAGCTTTTTTCTAATGCACCCGGGAAGTCGATTAAGTGCAAGATTGTCTTCGGCGCTCTTCCTACAACGTAATCGGGTAACACGTCGACGTTGGCAAATAAGTACGTTACTTCACGAGTTGTCATAGTAGAAGTGTAAGCTATGTTCAGTACGGTTTCGAAAAAGACACCAGCATCACTCACCAGCAGGGAGGACGTGGAACGATAATGACGAACACAACGGCAGCTTGATTTCTAATACATCAGCATATATATACCAGCCGGTAAAAAATTGGGGTAATGGTCTTTGGTGTGTCCTTCTCATCCCCTAAATCGAGAATAACTGGGAGGTGACCGGAGGAGAGCTTGTGGAACGCTTCAATTGCCGTAGAGAGACGTATATCTTTAAGTATGGCAAAACTCAATACCTCCACTGTGTCTGTAGTCGCCAAGTGTGTTGGTTGCTGGGTGCCTAGTACGCATAGCCCGTGCTCATCATAGGGTCCCAAGGATGTGGTCTTCGAGTTATCGGCTCGGCTGTTCCATGAAGGGTGCTTATAATTGAGTCCCCCGCACAAAACAGAAGAAGAGGCACTCCCAAGGATGGCGTCCAAATCGGGGCGGAGGTATCTTCCAAGGGGATTTGTAGACTGCGATTACGGACAGAGGCCTCTGGTCGGCCATACATAGGGAAATTTCCCACTGCCTCAGCACTTTGTAGAGCTGGCATAGATATCGATGACATTGAATACTCCATTTCATCAAGACAGCCACACCCCCACCGCGTGCATCAGTTCTGTCTTGGCGATAAGTAACAAAAAAAAAAGTTGCACAAATTAAATACAACGTTAGGAAGGAGGTGCGTCTTATTGTTGGAGCACACATCAATTCTTACTAGTTGTAATAGCTCCTGAAGCTCGTGCTTCTTACTCTAAACACCATTTGCATTTTAGAATAGGAGTTGGATGTGGCGGCGCGTCTTTGGCTTAGAGACCGCTGCAAACAGATTCAGCATTTTCACAGTTCTAAGCATGCTGGATAAATTCGTCGTTAAAATTGCAAACACTCGCCGTATTGTCGGTTGCAACTGTTTAGCTTTCGCAGTAAAAGCGTGGTCAGGGGTTTAGAACCTAACAGGTTATTGGGGTAAATCTTGATGAGGTTTTGTCCTCAAAAGAAGCCCGTTAGTGACCCCGGGGTAACAGAATTGTTTGTAGTTGGCGCAAACGAAGAAACTTAGTGGGCTGCCTGTCTGCCTTAGGCGGATAATATATCTGCAGCCTTGATAATTAGCGGTATGTGCCCTGCCACAATTCGCACATCTAGAAGGCGAATCTCGTAAATTGGTACACTCTGCGGTGAGCGACCCTCACCGCATTTAACGCATTGGGGTGCCGCAGAACCAAACTTGCAGAGTGGCCAAAGGTTTGGCAGTGGTGGCATGGTCAACGCGACTACTTTTTCGAAGTTTTTTTTATTTTGATCTATAAATGGGAAATTGTCTTCATCTTTAAAAGTTTTTGTCGCTCCGTTCTGGGTATATGGACCAGCACTAATGGTTATGGATGCTTCTTCTACTCGTTCATAGACATTGTCCTCCTTGCGCATCCGTGCTACTAGGGAGGGTGTGATGCTTTGCGCGCGCAGGTCCGCCTGGACGGTAGAGACGCCGAATCGCAATAAATTTCCACGAATAACAATTTTTTGTGGTTTGTCTACAGGTAATTAATAGGTAAAATGTTATAAATCTTGCTTGCGCATTCGCTGTGATCTCACGGTATTCTTGAGCTGTTGTCGGAAATATTTTAATTCTAAGAAGCATATCTCTTTACCTCAGGGTCATGGCACCGTTGCCTTGCAAAAGTTGTACACGAATGGGCCTCTTTGTTTTCGCAAAGGGTAGTAGAAGGGATTTTCTCTTTACGAGTTCGCAGGGGGGCCCTGTAGTACATGGTCCTTTATTAAATAGAAAGAGAGTGTCAGAAGCGCTGCCTATTTCTACGTCTACGGTGTCTTTAAAGCTTTTGGGGCTTCTCTGAGTCTCTAATGATTTTTGGGTTGCCGTTACCCTTAATGGGGGAAAACTTACTACTATCATTACTTTTAATAATATTTCTATTATATTACTGTGTAAATTTTTATTGATATTAGTGGTGTTTCTAACTGTTATATTATTACTAATGTCGGTAGTATGAGAACTATTAGTCATAGGATTATTGCTACTACAACTATTATTCTTAATATTAGCTATTTCTTCGTGACTAGACTCGCTATTTTCCAGTAAGACTTCGGAAGCATCTGATTGATCTAAAGGCCGAAAATACATTATTATTGTTAGTTGTATTGTCATAAGGCACCTTTCGCCTTTTAGACTTATTTTATACCGAGTGCTTTTAGTAACTTGAAGAAGTTTTGCCTTTGTAGAATCTAACTCTTTTCTGAGTTCTTGAGTAATAGCCAACAAGTTAGAAATAAATTCTCGAAGTTCTTCTTCAGAAGACGGTCTCACAATTAGTATAGAGATTATTATATATTTTTTGAAAAAAAAAAGAGGTTAAATTGAAGAAAAAATAATAATAATTAAAAAATTAGTAAAAATATATAACATATATATGGTCTGTGATATAACGTCAGTAGTTATAATTTACTTAGTTTAAGTTTCTAAAATGTAAAGGTATATTTTGAATAATCTCTAAAAAAGTAAGTTAAATAAACATCTCAAGTTTTAATTAAGAAGTTAGGCGGGCGGTTCAATATCACAGTCCGGCGGTTAGAGCAAAAAAGA